GGGGGGGTGGGGGGGGAGGGGACCTTCAGCCATGCTGCATATCTTCAGTATTGGTAGAAGGAGAAAATTATATAATCGGATTCCTTTAATACCAGGTCTTGGACACTTAAACGTTGTACTCTAAGTAGACTGGTGCTTGTAATGAGAGGGAGTTTTTCCCAGCTGCCACTCAGTTCTGCACCCAGTAGAATGAGGAAGCTCCTAGCCACTGGTCCTGGCAGAATCAAGGTTTTCACTCTAAAATAGGGAGTAACTCCATGATCTCAGCCCTCCCAAATTCAGAACTAAGCAGAGATGCTGTCTCTGTCAGACGTAGATCTTGAAGAATCTGTGAAAAGTATTATCTCCTAGCTCCTGCACAGTCCTTAATTCAGAAGGAGCTGGGAGCTTCTTATCCTTGATAAAGTGAGCTGAAAAGAAAGATGCTGTGTGTAACACCAGGTCTGTGAAGCATTGGGCTAGCTTCTGCTGTGTTCCGAGTTTAAGAGAAACTGTGAGCCCTTATGGCACAGCCGTAAGAATTAAACTTACCTCTGTGCTGGCCAACTGCTTCTCTGTCTGCATGAGCTCAGTAAAGGACAGGCATCCCGACTTGGCCTAGAAGCTGATAAAGTATCAGTTGTTCTCCTTTTTTTTGATGAATGAGCTCCTGTTGAGTTTAGACCCACACTCCAATGTCTTTTTCCCAACTCAAGCACTATATAAATCTAACCTAGTATTGGTATGTATCAGAACCAGCAAATGAGGCTTTATAAATAAGGAAAATCAGAAATAAACCTGAGTCAGTACTTTAGACCCTGATCTGAACCTGAATTTTCCCAGGTTTTGGGAAAGCCAGCAGCAAAGGCAAGGAAGCTAAAGCTTTCAGCTCTCTAAGGGGTTATCTTTTGGGGGGCAGAGGAGGCCTTGTTTATTATTTGGTGTGAGACCAGTGCCAAAATGGGAAAAATGGGATAACAGCCAACAGATTAATGAGCATAACAATAGTTCAACCCTTTTTTTTATTGTGAAGCAACAGGAAACTAATACTGAAGACACACTGTCTATCTATAGGATACCACCTCATATCAGAGATTGCATGGTTGCCCTTAGACCAACAATTACCCCATTGTAACACAGTCTTCTGAATCTTAACAGCAATTAATGTATTAAAGCAAAATTGTCTTAGGTAGTCACTCAGTTGGAGGAACACATTGTGACTTAGACGTGTGATTCCTGTATTGAACATTATCTTCTCTTTGTAAGATGGAATAAGTGGTTAGATATCCATAAACTTACACTGTCTTTTATTACTTGAGCTATTATTTAAAAACAAAAAAATTCTTTGGCATGCATACTTTGGAGATGCTTCTCACAAGAGGTAAGTCAAAATCCTTACAGGACTTATTGTGCATGGGCAAGTGTGGTGGAAATGGAAAATGCAGTAATTTGCATTAATTGCTTGCTGGTCTATTGTAATATTGACTGCATGATTTGCCTCTTACATGCTTGCACTGCTGTAATGATCTGAATTTAGTGCTGCATTTGTTAATATTAGACACAAATTTATCCTGACACTTTTATAGCTAGACATACAAAGTCTTGCAAAATATAATCATGCTCTTGAAATATTTCCCATAGCTACAGTACATTTCAGACTGCATATTGGAGTAGCTTAGTCCTGTGTCATCTACCCAACTGTGGTCCTCACTTGATGTAGTTCCTCTTTTCAACCTGACTATTGTGCAAGAAGTGTTAATTTATACTGAATTCTCACACTGAGAATACTTCATCTCTTCATAAGCTGTTCATTTTTTTCTTATTGGTGTGAATTGAGTTTGTCTTTAACACTTGGCAAATTTTTAGCATTTTATTACCAACCACTCTGACAATTTTGAGGGTGCATAGATTTAGCTTGTTTCATAAGTGAAATAATGTATCAGGGAAAAAAAAAAAACCCCGAACATCAAAACCCAACTCTTTTCAGGTCTGAGAACACTTATATTTGCATCCTGCAAAATGATTATCAGGTCTGTTTACCTTATTGACCAGCTACAGAACACGTGTTTGTTATATAAAACATTCAGTTGGTTGTAAAACTTGATTTTCCTTTAATTCTCTCAGACTTCTCAAAGCAATCACGCAGATAACCAGAGCTGGGATGGTAATAAGCTTTTTTTTTTTTTTTTTTTTAAATTTAACGTAGAAACATAAATCGGAATGTATGATGCCCACAGTTAACAACTGCAGAGGAATTCCAGTACAGTTCAGCTTATGTAACAAAATACTGTGAAATAGGAGGAAGAAGTCTGCAAATGGAAGCAATGAAAATGCAAAAGGAAGTCTTAAAATAACAGTATCTAGCTTTCTGCACCCACTTCTTACTGCACTAACCCAGCATCTGTCTTGTCTCCTTTTCAATCATCACATGAGTTTCATGGTGCATTAAACTAGTATTCATTATTCTTTTCTCTGTATTTGACTCAACTCCTTGCTATATTGAACAGCCAACCTACAGAATAAGAACAACATTTAGATAACTGTGAAAACGTTAAAGAGCAGAAAAGATTTAACCTACATGAAGAATAGATTTCAGGGAAAAAAATGTAACTCTCTTTGAACATTACTTCTCTTTTTCTACAGAAACATACATGTTCTTTAGTGGTTTTTTAGCCATCGAGCTGCCTAGGAGTGTTGCTGAAATAAGTAATTACATACTTGTAAAACTTTAGGTACAACACTCCATGTCTCTTAACATCACCAATGAATTAATTGTTTCACAGTTTGCTCCATCTCCTTAGATGTTGTTTGCCAGCCCTGTGTAGCATCTTTATGCAGGGAAACAGAAAGTCATTCCCGCAACTCTGTTCTAAAAGATGAAGAATTTTCCTGTCTGCAGCATAAATGATGCAAGACTTTAAGGTTATGAGAATTTCTTGTGATAGTTAATAGAAAGCAAGAGTGGGGAAAAAGCAAACTCCTTTTGGTATATGCAGCACACACCAGTATTTTTCATGCTAAAGAGTATTTTCAAGAAAGGAAGCATACATGAAAAACTGGTTAGTGAAAGGAGGTAGGGAAAAGCATTTCTTAAAAGAAAACTGTCCGTATTTTTACCTGGACTCTTTCTACTATCTGCATTACAAGTTTAGCATGCTTGGCCATGCTGTTATGGGACTATAAAGTCATGTAAATTGTAAGATTTCTTTAGTTTTTTCTTATGTTCAAATCCACAACCATACTATACTTCTTAAAGTGCTCCTTAGATTTTCCAAATTACCTGTCCATTTTTCCCAGACTTCATCCAAATTGCTTGTCTAATTTAGGATTTTTATGTTGGCTAGTCCATAATGGACACCGTTAATTATTTCCTCTTTTTGTGAGGTAAGCCTACCAATTTTGCTCTTCATGTTTTGTATTAAACAGTCCCATTACGAAGTCCTAAGCAATAAGGTCTTTCCTGTTCCCTAGCTGTTGTTTCCATTTTTTCTCCTGCTATGTTTTTGGGGTAAAGTATCTGAAATTAGTGTTACCTTTCACAGAATTGTATGTGTGCCATAAAATTTCTAACTCAAACATATGTCTTAGACATTTAGCAGGAATAAATAAGCTTTGCTCTTCTTCCCCCCAGCTTGTGATGATGAATGCACAGGACTCCTTCTCAGTGACCTGGATCGGCTAAACCAGATGATCCTGAGCGTTAACCTTAGTGGTCCGGTGCCTGCTCCATATAAAACATTGCATGGTTTTGAGAACATGACACAGGAATTAAAGGTATGTTCACAGTATTCACATACATAAATAACAGGGCTTCAGTACAACTGTATTTGAATTTGTTCAAACTTACAGCATGAGTAGGTTCAGGGGAGAAGAAAAATTCAAGATTTAATTACTTCAAACTTGCTTGGGTTGATAAATAGTTATTACAGTTATTTATTTTGACTTATTTTAATAAATAATTCTCGCAGCAGTAATTGGTGTATGTATGTGCAAGGAATTATACTGCAGGCACAGAAAAAAAGTGATGTCGCATACAAATAAAATAGTCTTCATGCTGGTGGTCCATGAAGCGGTTATGTATTTTATATACAGTATGTTCCCTACCATACTTCTGGGTTCTCCACTAAACTATGTAAAGCTGTCAAGATTCCTGAGAAAAATATGTTGGATGGATGTGACACAAGTCAATGACAAAAGGGAGTTGCATGCTGTAATGAAAAGGAAATTTTTGATGCTTCTTCTCTACAATGTTTGGAAGCACTGAGATCCATTAAACACAGATTTTCACTCTCCCTCCTCTCTTCCTCAACAGCATTTGCTTTCACCTCAGCGAGCACCAGAGAGACTTCTTCAGCTAGCACACGAAAATCTGGATACCCTGGTGACAGAAATGGATGAGCTACTGACAAGAGTAAGTCTATGATCACATTGGGGTCTGTGGGTTTGGTTAAGGCTGCATAATGACAGAAATCTTCTGAATATGAATTAAACATGAATGAATAGATGAATTATAAGATGCTTCTCAGTCTCAGTGTTTGAAATGGCAGCAAGTCCTCTAACAACCTCTTTTTGTGGGCCAATACTTTGAGATATATTTCCTGCAAAACTTGATAATAATGTAAGAAAACTTGATAATGCTCATACGGTGCACCCAAAAATGAGCTTATTTGGACAAGTTGATGCTAAAGGAAAGAGGGTTCTTGATACAGCATTTATGGGCTTTCCCATGACTTCAGCTACACGTTATGTTACAAACCTAATGGCAACAAAACCATGGGATTACCACACAGTTTCTCACGTCTGGAGTTTTTCCTTGACTGGCTGAGGCTCTCGGAAATTGAACTGCCTGGTTTCCTTCCTTTTCTTCTGAACATTAGTACTGTCTCTGGTAAGGCTATCTGCTTTCTGCATCAGCAACATCATCTCATCATATTACCTTTCAAATCTCCTGAGTCTGACTGTCTCAAGATAGTTCTCAGCCTGTTTCTCTTTTAAGATTGCCTGTTGCAATACAAGTAGCCTGGCATCATTCAGAGTTACTTAATGCCCAACCATCTCAAGCACATTATAGGAAATGTTTCACTGTTTTGCAGTTTCATTTTCCATTTTGGGTTATCTCTTGTGTTGGCTTATTTCTCCAGGAGCTGTAGAGCAAATGGTAGCCTAGCCTGATTCACTTATTTTAAAGAAATTTTATATCAAGACAATGTAAGTCCTGGCTTGACAAATAACAAGTTCTCATTAAGAGTCAATGAGTAAAGTAATTTAAATGGGGACAATATTTAAAGGGAGAATTCAAATATATGCACAAGGTGTGTGAGTTTATTTAAATATATGTGTTCTATATTTCATTTATGAGGGTAGTGAGAGTCTTCTAGATTGCAATCGATGTGCTATTTACTCTTTTTATTAGGAAAGTTTTATTTCAATATAGACCTTATTTTGGTCAGTAGAAGACCTTGTCTAAGAAAATAATATAAATTGTGCCACCTAGTGGAGGAAAAAAAAATAGGGAAATGGACCAGCCACAATAAAAGTAACAGCAGTCCAAAAAATATTAATATGAAGGTCTAGCAAAAATCGTGTTTGTGAGTTGTGCTCCCCTGCATTGAAATAGCCAAATAAGACAGACATGGATTACTGTACCGATGAATATACACCTGAGAGAATTTACCTAAACCCCATGCAGTTTTAGCATCCTGTCTTGTTCATGCCTTACAGAACTAAAATTCTCAGAGAAACTGGTTTGTTTGTGTGGATTATATTCAATTTTGAAAAAAACTATGAAATCATGGGGAGTGGGTAAGAAAGCATCTGTAGTGTGTTTGCATATGTATGCATGTACGTGTGTGTCTATACACCCACATACACATCCATACACAGGTATCTATCTATACATATTCTCATTGGGAGTGTAAAGAAAGCTTGGTTTTTCACTTTTGTTTGTTCTTCTGTTATTCTGCCAGAAATAACTGTGGTAGTTTTAAGTCTAGGTGGATTTTTAACTCAGGACAGCCCTACAAGCAAGGAAGATTGTATTTCTTGTATTAAGATTTCTCAATCTTAGCCTAAGACTATTTTTTTTTTTTTTTATTTTGCATAGTTGCTCTTTTTAGTATACTTTTCCAATTGCCAACTACCACCACCCCCACCAAAAATTAAATAAGTTTTAATCTGCCATGGAGATGACCTAAAATAATGTTGCAGATTCTGACCTTCTGTAGACTAGTCTTGGAAGGAAAAAGATTGAAGGTCTGTTCTTAGGGGACTTAGTGTGGTGGCCAGATTACCACTGCTTCCCTTTCTGCAATTTTCCATTGTTGCATTGAGTAAGTAGCCTTATGATTTCCAGTTATCCTTACAGAGAGTTGTTAACTGGATTGCAGTTGGGGTTTCTAATTTGGGGACTGGCAACTGGTGGCAAGTCCTAACCTTCTCTTTCTGTGTTTGTAAATAGAAGTAATGTCCCAAAAAGAAGAGTCCTGATGTAGTGTGTTCAAGTCTCGTTTCCAAATGAAGATATAGCTGATAACCACATAATGGCTAACACTTGGAGCACATGGTACAACCATAAGTAGCAAAGTTTTTCCCTGTATTTGATTTGCAGGCTTACTAAATTTTCAAAGTGAAACCAGTAGTGATGAAGACAAAGGTTGATGAGGATTGGTGAGGAGTCTATTTCCATGAAAAAAAATTCTATCCATTTCAAGATAAAAAGTAGAAGACAACAGTATGTAGTCACTACAAAACCTTTGGGCTTTTTGTTTCCTTGTGGTCTCTTTTCAACCAGTGATCTCTTACATCAGTGCAGCATGCCTTTTTCTTTTTTTCATCATATTCTTTCCTTCATTCACTCTGCCATACAGAAGATCCTCACGTCTTTGTCACCCTAATTAGGTTTACATGTTTGCATGCACATTCCCACATCTACTACCAGAGGCAGACCTCAGACTTCACTTCCTTTAAGTTCACGACTTCTAGTCAAAACCCCCTCTTCCCTTTTAATAAGGTATCTTCAGAGCCTTCAAGGAAGACAGGGTTCAGAATCACTCTTCTTGACTGAAATGCTTCTTTTGACTTTCTAAACTTCTTCATTTCTCCCATACCACTGAATTTCTCAAGCTCAAAAATTTCTGGAAGTATTAGCAGAGGCAACTTGGTTTCCAATAGCTGGAAGCATTTGGAGGGAGAGCCAAGAACTTCCATCTGTACAGTGAGGTCTGTGTTTACTCCTCCTTCGGTGCTCTGCAGCTCACTAGCTGGAGAAATTCCTGTAGGGCTCCCCTCCAGATGCCATCCAGAGGAGTTTCTTATGGCTTGATTAAGACCTCAGACTAAGCACACAAAAAGAACCAAAACAAAAATGTGTTTGTAATTGCTAATACTTGCTAATAGTCTAAGTTGCTAAGAGGCTAGTAGTCTTCAGATTGGGACAAGGCCTTCCATGGAACCTTCATCACTAAGTACAAGCTGTGAACATCACCAAAGCAGGTTCACTGATCTCAGATGATACTTTCTTTACTAGATTTCCATGGTAGGGATCTCCTGTATGCCAAAAAGTCTTATTTGTGTCCAGACTTCCTGAAGATTCATTCCAAACCCTTGCTCTGGGTCCAGTCTACCTAGCCCTTATTGCTCCCCCAGAAAGAGTTTGTTGTGCCTGTTTAAACTGTTAGGAGATGCTGAAGACTGACCTTATAGAAATGGTGAATTGTAGTAAATGAATATATAGAAAATGAGTAGGACTTTATTAACAAATGGAAACACTTAATTAGCCATGGAATGGCTAGGTGCAGTGTGAAGAATGTTTGCCATTTAATTTGGTTTATGGAGTTAAAGCTGGACCAGATAATGAAGCAAAAGGTTATTTTTCAGCAAAGCAAATTATGGCAAAATACAGAAAGCCTTCAGTGGAGCTGAATGAGATTTAAGTACTAAAGAGAACTGTCACCGAGAGGAAATGAAAACTGTTTGATGACAGATTAATGTGCACAAAAATGTAGTATGTGCCATTCGGTCATAAATATTGAGAGGTTAAAGTGGCCAACTGGAATTAACATGAATGTGGAAAAAGTAATCAAAACTAAGAAAAGTATATGTAAGTTATAAAACACCATTTGTGGGAAAGGTCTTAGAAATATTATAGTACATAATAAAAGTGAATGTGAAAATTCCAAGCAAATAAAACCCAAAGAATAAACGGTTGATTGTGGAGGATTTGACAATAAATAATAAGGTAATTCTCAATCACATGAAGAATTAAATGACATCAGAAATGCCAAGCTGGGTTAGAGCAGTGGTCCATCAAGACCATTCTCTATTTTTGCCTTTTTCCTGTCCCTGTTGCCTCTTACAGCTCACTGTGACAATATTTTAGTTCTGTATCCAGGCAGGTAAAGGCATTTTGTAAATATTAGAGGAAGTAACCAATAGCATGATTAAAGCTGCATAAATGTAAAAAGCCATGTTCTACTGATATAGGGATGAAAATGGAACCAACTCCCCCCAGTCAACATGGGCTTTTAATTCTTCCTGTATAATTCTATTTACCTGAACCATTTTAATAAAAATTACTTTCAGAGTAACTACTCTGAAGTAGACCAAAACTGTAAGTGCTATGATAACGCCAGGGATTTCATTTCAGAAACCCAGCTGTCCTGATGTATCTTGAGGGCTTCCATATAGAAGCTAATCAGGAAAAAATAGATGTGTTAAAGTGATACTATTTCTCTTTGACTGTTATTGAAATGTGTGGGGGTTTTTTGTAACTGAGAAAACAGTTTGTACAACTCAAGTCAGAGAAAACCTAAGCTCATTTTGAATTATTGACCTTCTAGCCATTTCCCAGAGACAGCAAAGATCATAATGCCCTGCTTCGAGACATTTCTTGGGAATGCAATCCCCAAAGAAAAAACTTTTTTGCTTTACAATACCGTTTGACAAGCTTTGTTACTTGAAATGGTCAGCTGCTTTGTAATAAAAATGGGTCCATTTTGTAAATAGGAACCTTGAGAGCTAAGCAGAATGTCTTAAGATTATTTCTTTCCTTAGCATGTTTTTCAGGTCTGCGGCAGACATCTGTCTTCATCCTGCTGCTGCTGCCGCTATGATTCAATAAAATTATGAAGCATTTAGTTACACAAAGCTAAAATTTTACTCAGCACCCCAATATGTTATAAACAAACAACTTCAAGCATTGGAGCTGAAAAACACAACTCTTTTTTCTCTCTTTCTTGGTTTAATTACTGTATTGATTTAAAATTCTTCTTGCTTCTTGGCATGAACTGTCTCTTTGAGAATGCCTCCGAGGAGGAAGCAAAGAGGTCATGATATCTGCTGCACTTTGTAAATTGAAAAGTGCACAATTGTGAAATTATGGAAAGTATTCCCTGAAGAATCTATTAAAAGGTTCGAAACAGCATTTCTTTAAGCAAATTCAGTGAATAATTTCATCCTGTCTCCCTTTGTGTGCTGTTGCACACAACTAGGGTTTCTAAGAACCTAAAATAAAGCCTTCCAATTTCCATTTAAAGGAAAAGGTAATAAAATTTAATTGTGTACTTGAACAGAGCATGTCACTTCCCATGCATCAGATCAATAATTCATTGATTGCCTTTTGCCTGAGGAAAGTTTTGTACATAGATTCAGCCAGTAGGAATATCACATAGTGCAACCTTGTCCTGTTTATTAATTATACTTTTCCTGAATTTGGATCACTAGGCTACAAAGGTGACAGCAGATGGTGAGCAAACCAGGCAGGATGCTGAGAGGACAAATGACAGAGCGAAATCTCTTGGACAGTTCGTCAAAGGCATTCTCCAAGCTGCTGAAGGTATTGGAAAAAGAAAAATGTGCCAGTTGTTTCTCAAGAAAAACTGAAGAATGGTGGGGAAGAGGGTCTAAGAGACAGTGAGGAAGAATTTATTCACTGAGAAATGTCATGTGCTTTAAATGTTGAGTGAAGAAGCTACGGTCATCTTCAGACTTTTTGCAATCTACAAATGCAGTTTATATAAACAGTGCATTGGTAATTATGAACAAAGACTAGCAGAATATTAGGTATGTTTCTTCAGGATTTTTGCAGTTATTTGAAGAAAAGCTATTATGATGAAGTAACTAACAGGGCTTAGCTTTTGTTTATTTTCAAAGCAGTTAAAAACATGTATTGGTAAAAAAGCTTGATGTAATTTTAGCACTTGGTACATTAACACTTCATCTTAATTCCCCCAAATTACTTCAGAAATACATTACTACTTGCTGTTAATGAACATCTGCTGCTTGGAATTTGCAAGTGACTCCTAACCCTACCTACATAGTGGCATGGAGCCAACTCTCTCTCTTCCACAAGCTGATTCACTGCACTTACAAATGCAGTAAAGACTTACGAGCAGAAGTATTGTAAAGGGCTTTGAGAAGCAAGACCTATATATTGCGTGAGGCTATTAAATAAGATAATGGCTGAAAAATATGAAAATGATTGGCAATCACAGGCAGGTTTTTTACTTGAAAAATACTGATCTGTTCTTTCTTCCTCAAAACCCCCACTACAGTACTGATTTCAGTAGTTATGCTTCTGAAGTCCATTTCATTGAAAGGGAAAGCTTCCACTTTTGTCCAAGTGCTATAAAATACATTTTATATTGCCTTTCATGTAACACATCCCAGTACATGCCCTGTAGCTGAACTGAACAGCAATTTAGGATATCTTTAGGATGTGCAACTTCGACATGAAATAAATGTGGGGAAAGCAACAAGAAAAAGTAAGCAATTTTTCAAGAAGTTTTTTAAACAAAAGACCAGGTTCTTCATATCTCAAGATGAATTTCGAATGACAAGGGCTAAACTAATTTTTTGCTCCACAAAGTTTATGCCCAGTATTTGTAACCCAAACAAAAGTTTCCTCGAGCAGGTTTAGGAATACAAAGTATAGAGTTAGAAGACTTTGAGGGGGTGAAATAAATTTATGCAGTATCTTGGAAGTAGACAAAGACTTTAAAATCAATGTGTTTGCCTAGTGGCCAAGTTAACAGCTTAAGAATAGATGAAATGTAGAAGCACAGGACTGAAAGATACCTCCTGGGTTGCTGCATCCACTCCCCTGCTGTCATAAACTGTCTAACCCTCATCTTCAAAGTGGTTCCCACAAATACACACAATCTGAATAGGAGGCAGTTTCAGAATTCTGCATAACTGCAAGCCTTCTCATTTCTAGTTAAAAATATTCATATTTAGTTTACCATCATGTGTTCTTTTGCCAACCTTGTTATTTAGTTCAGATAGTTTTTTTCCTCTCCCTTGTGCTTCTCGTCCTTCCCCCACCCCCAACTATGTTCATAGAGAGGAATCATATTCCCCTTGAGCCCTTTTTTCCTAGACTAAAACACCTTAAAGTGTATTTTCCTATATCTCCTGTTCACCTTCATATAATTTCCCTACCTCTGTTTAAAATTAGGTTCATCTTTCCTGAGCACAGGTAACAAGCATTGAAATGAGGTTGCTTCAGTGTCTTGCACTTCAGTAGCAGTAAAAACTGCCTATGTCAGCTCTCCTAATACATTCTGGGATAGCATTTCCCTTTTTTCACAGCTGGGTGCCATTGGAGATTCATAATATAGCTATGTTCTTCTCATTCATTCCTTATATCCAAATGGCAAAGCCATAGTTTACAGCTGAAATTTCTGTTGTTATTTAGTTCACAGCCTTATATTTTCTACTATTGAATCTCATTCTGGTCTGATTACTTCAGTTTTGAAGGTCACCCAGTTCTTTCTGCATAGCATTCCAATCCTTCTCTACTAAGACTGTCTTACAACTTTTCCTCATAAGCATATTTTCTTGGTAGATGTCCTTTTTTTTTTTTTCCCCCCCAGGATCATTAATGAAAACATTCAACTGGATTTGCTATTAAACAGTATAGTCTGACATGTGCTACCCTTGGAAAAAAAAAAAATAAACACACATTCATTTATTCCACAACCTGTTTTCTACTGACTTCCAAAGCCAGTTCTCAGGCAGTAGTGGAATTCCCATTTCTTCAAAAGAGGCACTACATTTGCTTGTTCTCAGTCAAACGCTCTTCTTCCTGGATTTGCAATGTCATGTGCCAGATCTTTCAGGTTTCTACAATGGCAGTTCTCTGGCCATTCCAGCTTGAGTTCTTCAAAATGTTCTTCCTCTTGTGATAATTTCTGTATCCTTCTGATTGCCATCCTCCATTGTCCTCCTGTTCAAGATCACCATCTTTCAAAAACTGAGGATAAACTTCCACTTTATGTTGGAGCCATTCCGAGATTATTTTAAAATTTGACAGCATTTTAACTGCATATTGGTCCTATACCTTTTTTGTCTCTGCTCCCTTTGACCTATGAGACATTGCTAGATTGTTCCTTAAAGACTTTATGTCCACTCATGATGTTCTGATTGAGATGACCAACCAGTTTGCACATATTCTTTATGCCCATTCTTTGTCCCCCATCCCTAGATTACAGACTTCTGAAAGTTATAGTACTTTGGATCTCTAGGAATGCAGGCTTTTTTATCTATGACCCTGAGCTCCCTAGTAGTTGTTGCCAATAGGCAACAACTTCAGGATGAAATGCCATGAAAGGACCTATTTCTTTCCATTGATTGAAAGTAATGCTTGAGAAGGCAGTGCTCAGAAGTACATGATTGTAGATCTGACAGATGCCTCCCTAAACGTCAGGGAATCAAGGAATTCCTCAAGCCATAAAAACTCCTTATTACAAGTGAGAAGTTTGTAGTGATTTGTTGCAACAACCATACTCTGACCATTAATCCATTTCTACTCTGCTGATTGCTGACCTTCTGAACTTTTAGGTACCTGCAACTAGTTTTCCCTCTTAACTATGGAATTTCCCCAGTTTTGCACTTCATTGTGTTCATCTATGTCAGGGCATCCAAATCTTTTACCACCACTGGACTCTGATAGTTTCCAGTATACTAAGACTAAAAAGTAAAGATTGTTATGAGAAGAGGAAGATGGAGGAGAAAGATAAAGCTAGGTATAAATTTTCCTGAACCTAATAAAAGCTGAGATAACATATCCATTTTCTCTTTTAAGGTAAATATTCAGGGAGGTTAAATTGCTATTTATTTATTCCAGATTTAAAAAAAAAAAAAATGCCTATTCCAGGCCTGAGGTAACTTAGTAATGATACTTAAGATAATGCACAGAAGCAATCCATGATCCATTTAAGCAAAGTGTAGTCTTTTTCCAGTCCTCACTACCCCACACATAACCACTCTTGATTAAAGATCCAAATCTCAGTTCTCACCAGCAAATCAAAGATGTTGTTGGATCAGAATTTTCTTCATAATTTTCTCTAAAGCTACACAATGTGTAGATGAATAGTCATTTATTGGAATTTTGGAAGACACATTTTCATTTTTTCAACTAAAGATTTAATTTAAAATATTCAGAAGTACTCATGCAACCAGGAACTGTGCTGTTTTGGAGAAATCAGTTACCTGGGAGCCCTGTGCCTATGGAAAGGCAGCAGTACTTTTTAAAATTGAAGATGGAACTGATTGTCATAAATGACCTAGTTGCTTCTGAAAGTGTATATTCTAATATGTTGTGGTGTGCTATGGCAGAAAAATTTTAGTCAGTCCTTGAATATGATACCATGTGCACAGCTTTATCAGTTTGGAATAATCCAGCTATTCCAAACACATAATACATTTACAGTGTGCCATCATATATTCCAGCCTTCATACCCTTCTTTTCCATTTCTGGGTATCTGCTTCTAAACACATGAGCGGGTTTAGACATCTGTGGGTGTCTTTCACTCCTCTTCTCTCTCCTTCTTTTTCAGAAATTTCCCAATCATTTATTCTTCCTAGCAGTGTTAAGTCTGAATGCTAAAAATGACATTTTTTTGAAGTTCTCCAGAAGTAATTTAAATCTAGTTTTCATTGCTTGTACTGCCTGCTCCTTAATTCTATGAGCAATATACCAGATAATCTTCTGCTCTGTTTCGAAGGTTCAGTGCAAATTCTTTCTTTTGGGGGTGGGGGCGGGGAAGAGAGGAGCAGTATATTTCTTATACTGGATATAAAGACTTATTCACTTTAACTACTGTCCTTAAAAGTGAGCTATAATAAAAAGTTTGATGAAACGTGTAACATTTTCTCCTTTGTTACTGATCAGTGGATTAACAATCCTTTATATTTCACAGCAGGAGTAACCAGTGCAAGTTGCATTCCACTTGCTGGTAGAGTTGATGGGCAGATGCTTAAATCCTCTCCGTTGTTTTTATTTACTAACTCCCTACATAAATATTTTTTGACCTTCTGCAGCTGCAAATGAAGATGCTATAAAACTGAATGAGACACTCAGAACCCAAGACGAGACCTTGGAGAAGAGTCTTCCAGAACTGCAGAGGGAGGCCGACAGAATGGTCGCAGAGTTGAGAAGCAGAGAGCTGAACATGCAAGAAAGAATAGCTCAAGATGAGTTACAGTGAGTAGAGGGACCTCAGTCTTCAATCTTGCAGTGATAATATCCAACTCTTGTAAATGTAATTGTCATCTTTTCCAACCAAGTTTTCAAGCTGGGGCATACAGAAATATGAAGAAAAGCAAAGTCTAATACTTCATATCTGTTAGTGTAGCATTTGCATTTTTGGAAATGCTTACGTATGTGGAAAGCAATCCCTAGGAAATTACTTCTCTGCTGCACAGGTATCAGCAACATTTCTAATCGAATTCTAAGCAATTTTTCTCAGTTTGTTTTTAGCTTCTGCTTCAGACCTGATGAATGGCTTTTGTACTAAAAAGTTTGTCTAGAAGCTTTGGGGTGTTTCTGGAAAACTAATTGGTCTAGTAAAAATATTAGTCTGCAAAGTTTGTCCAGTAGCATAGACATTCAAAAGTATGTATTTTGCCATATATAGAATAGTGTAGATCAGAATATTCCAACTCTGTGGCACAGTTCAGAAGCCCAGGGTTTGGTTATTTAGCTATCTAAAAATAAAAACTATATATGTATATATAATTATATTGGCAGCTCTTTATAAAGCATTTTGCAAAATGCTGAAAACTTACCTGATCCAGAAAAACACTTGGCTTGAAGTTAAAATTCTTGTAGTCTGTTACTTCTGTATCAGTCAAAAGAGGCATATTCCTGGAGCTAGGCTTTGCTTAGCCCTTCACCAGAGCAAACAGCTAGCAGGTAATCCAGCTGAGCAGCTATGTGGTCCATTGAAGTTGTGATGGCTCAGAAGACTGTCTGGGATAGAGGAATTCAGGCCTGAAAACGTAGTTATCAGGTCCGTGCATACTGTAAGGAGACATAAATAGAATACAAGATTAGTCAAGAATTCCAAGCAGTATAGAATCAGATTTGCACTGCCTATCGGACACTTTATAAACTGGATCATTTTCTGAAAATCCTACCAGTACAGTATCTCTTCCCATAATTCTGATGGCTCCACTTTCTGTTCTCTTGAGAAAGGATATATTGCAAACTTATTTTTCGGCAATGTTTTATTGCTTTTTCTTCTGATTCCACTGAACCTCTTCTATCCCTTCTCCACTCACACACAGAAATAAACCAGGAAAAAGTAGGGATGAGAAAAATTTAGTCAAACCTGTGAAAGTGCTGCCTGTAATTTTAGGGCAGACTCGGAGGAAGCCTTTCAGACAAGGTGTTCTTAGTCCTCAGATGCAACAGCCAACATGAAACTGTCAGACTAGCATGAAATCATTTCCTAATTTAGCCCAATAGCTAGAGTAGGAAATGCAGTAGGGCTTTTTTGAGGGAAAGAACTTCTCTCCCTCTTACCATTCTTCCTGAAATGTGCAAAGTGAAGATTTTCATTTCCTGATAAAGGAATACATTTTATACTAAGAAATACATGAATATACCCACTGATTTCAATCAAAGTTGTATGGTTTATCTTAAGGATAGGATTACCTTTTTATAGGCAGTCATTGAGATCCAAGAAATTTTGGCAGTGAACTCAACAGAAGAAAATTACTCAGTGTGGATTGCAGGGCGGGGAGGAAAGGTCCCTAGATAATGTTTTTTGAAAGTCTTTTATAAAGTACTGCCTCTTAAAGAAAAATGTCTTAAAACTGCTTAAATAATTTAGTAAGGTAGTGGGTAGGATACACTCTGCAAGGAAAAAAGATGAAGAAAAATTAATCACTCTTAAAACTGTGTGTGTGTGTGTGTGCATATGTATGGATCACTATGCTCACATGTACAATTACAGACCTATTTAGAAATATTTACTTTTGAATAGCTCTGCAAGTCTCATGATCATTTTGAAGTAGTTAATCATGTTTACTCTTTGGTGAGATGTTTTTTGGCAGTGATTGTATTCTGCTTTCAGGATTTCATCCAAGAACAGAATGACAAGAATCAGTGGATTCTTCTTAAATCTCCTGTGTTTTCAGTGAATTCTTAAAAGTTAAATGAAGAAGACAAATTAAGTCAAGTCATCTTGCTTTCATAGATGGCAAAACTTCTCTTACATGTGCAGCATTTTCCCTCATTTATTTTCCTTCAAACTTTTCAAATCAAGTCTGTAATCTGATTGCCTTAGTGTACTGAAATGGCACATTAGTCAATAATTTGTCTCTAAAAAGAGTATGTTAAAAATACACCAATTTCTGTCCTATACCGCCCTGATTTTCATACTTATGAAATAAATCTTTCAATATTTTATAACATTCCTACACATTTTCTCAGATGCTGCTGAGTTGCTATCAAGGGATGCTATGAGCCAGAATTCTATCTTTCTATTTAGTATGCTGAATAGCTTTATTTTTGTGTGACTTTTTATTGCATAAAATTGTCTGATGGCTTTTGAACCACTGTGAACTTCTATCATCCAGTTTCCTGTAAGAATGAATTGGATAGCTCTGCCACACAGTGTCTGAAGAGATGCCTCCTGTATTTTGACATTGCTTCCTGATATTTTCATTTTTGTATTTGGAGAGATATTGGACAGTTGATCACCTTATCCATGCTACTCATGATGTTATAGTCCCAATTTCTTCTTCAGATAGGACAATTCTAACATATTCAGACTCTCATATATATACAGTTAAGTTTTTTTAATCGTTTTGCCATCAGTTTCTAATCTTTCTTTTGTTCCCTTGTGCTCATCTTGAGGATTCAGACCAACAGTATTCCAGATGTTAGGCCAGACCTCTGATTGTTTCTTATACTACTTCAAGCATTTTGTATAGTTTTGTTCTTTTTCTAGGAAGGTATCCAGTGAAAGTAGCACAGCTTAAATGTGCAAGACAGTATTTCAAGAAATGTGGTGCAATCCAATCACACAGAAATTCTGGTACATAAAGCAAGGGATTACACAGAGCAGATTTATTGCCTTGTAGTTCATTAGAAAGAACAGAGGGGAAAAAAGAAACAACAGGTCGATATGGAAGTGTTGCCTTTAGAGCACCAATAAAGAGTTTTGAGGTAGACTATTGGACAAATAGGTAATTTGGACTGTGCTATGAGGCAAGGGCATTAAAAGGAAATCCATCTGTCTTGTACCGTTCCCCCAGTACTGCAGTCATATGGGTGTCAAAATCTGCCAGAAGTGTAAGACAGTAGCTGCTTATACAAAGAACAATGGAGGAGGTACGGGAGAAATTCTGAATTCCTTTCTACACATCTTCTGTGACAGGGTGTCAACGCTGGGATTTAATCTTTGATTAATGTTTTGTCCTCAGAAGTTGCAAATTCACAATGTGAATAATTTTTTTAATCAAAACCAAAGGCAGGGCAGATGAGGAAAAAAAATCCATCTCAGAAAATCCCAAATCTAAGGTAACAACTTGGCTTTCCTTGGCTCCAGTTCAGATCCTTCATCTAAATCAGGCCCAGTGGTAGCATATCTTTTCCACTTCTCAGATATTTTTTTTTTGTGTGCATTTATTTATGTGTTTATTTTTAAAAGGTTTCTAATGGAACCTATAGGCAGGCCAAACTGCAGTGTTTTTCAGAAAATGCCGTTCTTGTTTTCCACGCAACTTCTTCAGACCCATTGCCATAATGAGACAGGAAGAAAAACTTCATCTGTTCTAGGTAGAAGTGCAATAGATTTCTTCTGTAGGTATTAACTGTCCTACAGATTCCTGTTTACTTAGGATTTTTCTTTATCTCTAAAGCATCATTTTGGAAGTGCATCTTTTTTTTTTGTCTTTTTTTTTTTTTTCTGTCCTTGTATCATTGCATTAATGCAGTGGTGTTGCATTACATCAAACTGATTCAATGGCCTGGTATCATGAGGCAGAGAAATTATAGGGCATAAAGACTCCAGTACTCCAGTCCTTTAAAACTGGGTGCAGCAAGTCTCTGATGATCAAGAAATACTGTATCCCCTGCCAAAAGCAGGCACTTGTGAACTTTCTATTTCTGTGTTGCCAAAATCCATTAAAAATATTCCAGAAATTATTTTAGATAAGCGAAATTCTTTGGCTACTGGAAGTCATAAATCCAAGGATCCTGGGGATTGCTTACTTCACAGGAAAGTATTTATGATTTTTGACTGTCTAAAGCCATTTGTCTGCTCCACGACAGCTTGAAATCAGAATATCCCCCTCAGTTCAAGGTAGGAAACCACTTTGTGTCACGTGTCACATTAATGTGAATGAAGGAAATCTTATAGAGAAGTTGAAATGTTTCAGAAAACCTCACTTTACTAGTCAGATGTCAAGAATGGCAACTTACCAAAAAGAAAAAAAAAAAAGACAAAACAGTCTTCAATGGAGAATATTTTAATATTGTCTACTTCATAAATAGGACCTTAGTGGCATTTAAAAACCTCTTTAAGAAAGGGCTTAAGAACAGCTGTCGTTTCACTTTATTAAGCATGTGTTGTCTTGAAAGTTACTTTGAGATTTAATTTAGAAGTCTATTTCATTTGCATGTTATTAAGAATATTCAGATTATCCAGTGTAGCGAATAGGAACTCAGTGCCTTCAGGGGTGGTGATGTATTGCAGGAGGACAAGGTGAAGAAATTATTTGGTGAGCCCAGTGAGAAAAATGAGGACCTCAAAAATGAGGTCCGGGACAAGCTGGCAAACTACCACACCAAAGTTAATGATGCTCGAGACCTGCTAAGAGAAGCTACGAGTAAAATTAGGGAGGCTGATCATTTATCTGCAGTCAACCAAAAAAATATGACCATGGTAGAGGTGAGTGCTGACAAGTTGTATCCTTGATTCCTTGGAGTCTGTTCAAAGTTTGAAACTTTACATGATTAAATCTTGAAACAAAAATATAAGCAAACCAAAAATATTATTAAAATATAACTATATCTGATGTAATTAAAAGGAAACATGTCCCTCAGAATGAGGAAATGCATTGGCTTTTAAAAGTAGAATTACTCCACAGTTTTATCAAAATAATATCATCTGCTTTTAAACACTGAGTGGAGGGTGCATTGGATTTATTATTCGGGGGGAGACTAAGTTCATCCCAGTATAAATACTGATGTAAAATTCAAATCCTGTGCTCAAGACTTAAATAGGAGTTCGGTTAAAATCTTTGCTGTCATGTATTTGCTCCTAGAAAACTTACACTTTCACCTCCCTCTCCAACCCCTGGGAAGAAGACTGAAAGGGGTATGCGGATATTATAGAGTAATAAATAAAACTCTGTCCTCTGTAGTTAGTAGCTGTTATAAATGGTCTCCCTCATAGCAGAGGGGTCTGCTTGTGGTCTAATTTAAATTGCAGAGACTTAAAGAGCATATTATACTGTACATTAACAAGCATTTAACCAAGACATAAAGAGCGGAGTAAACCTAATGAAGATAAATGTTTCAATTCTGTTTGTATCTCAATGAGCTTTCGCCTCATGTACAGTGATGAGGTTAGAGTTCCGAGACCTCAGTTCTCAGCAGAGATTTGTGGGCTTGATTGAATTAAGGAAATACAGTGCTGTAAAGAAGTTAGGTGACCTCTGTTCTGTGCATTTTCTTCCCCAATGTGGATGGATAAAGGTTGGAGAAATTACCTGCTATCTCAGTTTTTAAAATATTCTCTCCATCACAGTATCAGAGTGCCTGAAAGCATCCTTTCCAGCAGTCCTGCCCACCTGATTGTTTTGAGGAGGTTTTTTGCTTTATTTTGATCCTGTTGTGACCAAGAAGCCATCACAGGACTCCTAACTCTAGAATGCCTTGGTCTCCTATCAAACTAATCTGTGATACTCAGTGAATCTTGCACAGGAAATTGCCAGTTATTTATTCAGAAGTCCATCCTTACTAAACAATATGCAGTATTTTTACTATTTGGAAAATCAAGAATCTTAAGGTTGCTCCAAACCATCATTTTTTATTTTACATTCAGTAGTTAGTGAAACACCAGTGCACGTAAATAGGAAAGCAGCAGAGTATTTTGATAAATTTTGCCTTGATAGCCAGAGAAGGTAATTGTCAAAATGAGGAACTTGCACATCTGGGTAAAGATTAGGATTTCTAACTTCTTTCTGATTCATTTTGCAGAAGTACTACGTCAGTTACCTCTGTTATAGAGCAACAAAAAACTTTCCATGTGGGAGGGGGACAGCAGGAGAAGGAAAAGATATCTTACATCATATGTGCTTTATTGTTGTCACGGTCTTTGCTCTGAAAGCTGAGAGAATTCCATAAGTGGCACTGTGGCATGGTCACAAAATGCAGTCTTGTATTGGGATTCTGGTATTTGAACTGGCATCAACTCATATTTTTCTTTGTGTGAACACATCTTATAGAAAAAGAAACAAGCTGTAGAAGATGGCAGACAAGATGTTGAGAAGAGCCTGCAGGAAGGGAATGATGTCCTTAATGAAGCCAACAAACTTGCAAATGAAATCAGCTTAGCTGTAGAGGTGAGTGTTTTATCATCCTTATCTGAGAGTTAGCACAACGAAGCATGATTATGGAAGCAAAATAGATAATTAAAGTAACACCTGACTTTTATTTATCAGTGTTGGAATATTTGATTGGAAGAAATCGTTTTTCTATTGCTGTATGGCAGAAAAGCTAATCTGGTATATAAAAATGATTAACTTTGAGTTTTAAATGATTCATTGGATTACGTAAAGAGCTAGCTCATAATTTTTCATGGACTCTGCCTTCTTTTATAGATACGGTATTGTGATTTCAGTACTGACTTTATCTTTAGAATTGCAAATGCAGCAGATCCGTTCGCAATCTCACTGCAACTCTGTGATCTGGATGTAGATTTATCTGCACAAAAACTGTGTGTGCATATCAGAAGGAGACTTCAGAAATAATTTGTTGCCTGTGGCAACAATTTTAAGTCTAGATAGATCAGGGAGAGGAGAGGATTGCACTCTCATTTTACATAACATTTTTGAGAATTCTGCCTTAAAACTTTTAACAACAGAGTTTGAGATCAGTGCCTTAGCTACCAAAAAAAAACCCCTTGAAATATCATTGGTTCTGGAAATATTTCCATCTTGCATTGAAAATTGTTATAATGAATGAAAAAAAAAGCCTTTTGGAGAAATGGGAAAGGAAACACTTTGAGACGGCTTATTGGAACAGGAATGGCAGGTCTTCAAAAAGTATAGTTCTTACTAAGATACTTTAATAAGCAAAAATACATTGCAGTCACTCAAAGGGTACTGAAACATGAAACTTCTGTCATTGTGGAGCATGATGACAATTAAATGTAACTATGAATGCATCTACATTTAGGAAAGAAATCAAAATTAGAGTTTATAAGCTTTTAAACTGTGCAGTTCCTTAATTGTAAAATAAAACCTTCCCCTAAGCTCAAGAGAGGCAAATAGCTCTTGGAATATTGTTTTGTCTCCCCTCTGCTCTCCAGTCCAGCCATTCCTTTATTCTTTCCATATTAGTTCCCTGAAGTCTAAATGCATGGGGAAGTTATGAGATAATACCTCACAAGGAAAAAAAAAATATATAAAGGGCTACAGTATGCTTGCATTCAGCCACTTAAATGCTTTTCTTTTGTCATTTTCAGTATGTAGACAGCGTTGCAGATAAGATACAGCCAATGTCTGATCAGCTGAAGGATAAAATAGATGACTTATCACAAGAAATTCGTGACAGGATGCTTCCAGAAAAGGTGTTGCAAGCTGAGAACCATGCAGCCCAGCTGAATGAATCATCTGCAGTACTGGATGGGTAAGGCAGCCATTCATTGGAAATGATAAAATCATGAAGCACATTTGTAAAATTGTTTGGCAGAAATTGAAGGGCATTCTTCTTAGACTTTGACATCTGTCACTGGGAGTATACAAATAACCACTGTTCTATATGAGTGTACAACTATCCAGTTGGTTAATTTGTGTCTATCTCTTGTAAACCATTTCATGCATCTTCTGATGCTTATAGGCTGCATTTCCTGCAAACAGTGCCCTCAGATGCACTCTTAGTTTGACTTACTATATGCTTGCTTCTGTGTTGTTGTAAAAAAAAATTGAGCTTTGTCTTATAAAGTCCACTATGTGTTTTCATAAACATTTGTTAAAAACAAGTAGTATTTTTATTTTTAAGATGACTGTTTTGGTAGGAGACCCTTATTGTGGTGCTAATTTGTTTACTGTCAGAAATCCCCCATAGTGACAGACAGTAATCCCTCTAGTGGTTGCAAAACACTCTCCCAAAATGAGTAGGTGTCATGGGCCAAAATGCTTAAACCTAAGTACAGAAACTTCCATTTCTGTTTACCACTATCACATTCCTAAATATAAGTGAGAATTGTAGTGCCCTTGGTTTATGTGACCACAGGCCTTTCAGAAGTATGATACTTATAACTCATCATGAATATAGTTTCCTCAAAAGAATAGAAGGTAAGGGGTTTTTTTTGTCTGGTTTGTGTTTGTTGGGGACTTGGGGGGGAAAGGGGGATGTGTGTCTTTTGTTTTATTGCATTTTTTGCACTTAAGAAAGCAAGCCATAAATAGTAAGTGTCATTTGCAACAGTAATACTCAGAAATAGATCATGGATATTCTGCCTCTTGGACTTGTCCCCAGCATAGCTTCAGAGTTTTATTTTCTCAAAAGCATTGCATGAATAAAAAAGAGATATTATTTTTTTAACAAGAACAATATGCTCCTTTTTTACTACTTACATCTTTTAGATCTACCTGAAGACTTTTATATCCCGAAGACTTTTATATCCCAAAGACTTGTGAGCAGATGCTTAAGACATTTTTTTTCTTGCCAGCATCTGTAATTTTGAGGAAAAGGCACAGAATTATCTCTGATAAAGTGTCTGATACTTGTAAAATTGCTGGCTTCATATACAGTGTATTCACACTACTCTAGATGTTCAGTCTAATTTATGTTTTGAGGAGTACATAAAATAACGATAGCTGTGGTTTCCTAAGTATAAAGGATTTGAAGGACACTGTTACTAGACAAGCATATTTTTTGTAAATGGTACATGCACTGTCTGATTCGGACATGTCAGTTTTGTGGGGCATCTCTGGGCCTAAAGTAGGTGACTAGTCTTACATCCAACCACAGTACTGAATTTGGATATAAATATCCAAATACATGGAAAGCTGGCATGGAGGAACTAAGAAGTACAGAAAATGTAGACATAAAAGAATATTTTGCCTCCTTAATGAAATGTTGGCAAAGACATATTTTGACATAGAGATTTTTAACTATGCTAAATATACTTTTTTTTAATGGGAGCATGCATGTGCTTCGGTCTTAACGTGGGTTGACAGCTTGGCCTTAGGGAGCTTAGGGTGGTGTTTAAAGTTGCATTCACTGTGGTATAGCAGTACCATGTATACTTCTATCTGATCTGGACATCAACCTCAGTTTCTGAAGATATACTATAAAAATGCAGAATCAAGGACATTAAAAATTATATCTAAAAGCAAATTGTTCAAAATAAAAATTTCTAATGTGGCCAGATACATAATTTCAAAGGAGAAAGAAATACCAAGGTGCTATGTAATCATGCATCAGGATAAAGCTGTTTGCTTCATGCACTGACGTTAAACAGGAATACTTAACTTTAATACTTAAACAAGAATATGCAGTCTCTATCTGTCTTAGGAATTAAAAAATGTATCTATCTTCACAACTGGCACTTGGGTGTCTTTCAGTTAATGCTAAATTTGATGAAAAGTACCATTTCGTCTTACAGCAGAAATTGAGGGAGAGCCCTTTCTCTCCAATCACCCACTAAGGCTTCAAATGGTATATTGATTGATGGTGAGGATGTTCTCTTGAGAGTTAGAACGTGGAACAGTTCATGAATTTAACCTAGAAAAAATTGTTATTTTTCCTGTATACAAGGAGGTATTAGTATAGGCTTCTCCCTTATGGGTAATTGCCTGCCTGATGAGTAAATATCATTGGTATTTGGTAAATTCAGTTCGGTTCCCTCCTAAGCAGAAGGGATTTGAACCGTATTTCTAAGCAGTACTTGAGCTACTAGCTAGATAGCTATTCTGGGCTGGGCATTTCTCTAGCAGATCATCACAAAAACTTACTATAGCCTAGTGAGCTCCATCTGTAGTTGAGGAAGGAGATATGCTTTTCCAGAAGTTACGCAGAGGCAGCTCAGTCATGATGTTTCTGCAGTAGCCTAAAGGGAATCTCTCTTCCTCTATTAACTACATGTGGAGTCCAGGGAGTATACTTTCCGTCCCCTTTGTCTTTCCTGTTGCATTTTGTAGAAATCATTAAATACTCATTGAAGCGAGGATTGGAGCCCAGCTGTCCCCAGAGAACAGGTTAATTACTAGGGTAGAGAATGAATTTCTCTTTCTTGCACACACACTGTCTCAATGGCTAAGTATTTTATACAAGCTGGAACAGGTCCAACAGGAGTAATTCCGGCCTCCCTTATATTGCCGTATACCTTGATGGCTAGAATGTTTCCCAGAGAGGCAAAAATCCAAGTTCAAATCCATTCTTGCCCAGTTCAGGGATTTTAGCCAATTTACCATTTATTCAGAAGCATCCTAAGCATCAGGTATAGTGTATTCTGAGATAGATGTCTTCAAGATAATACTGTATGTGCAGTACTTCTTTGTAGAAAATATTTGGATATATCATACAGAGGGAGCGCAAGAAAAGTGATTTCTTCAGCCTGCTGGCTAGAAATTGCCCTGAAAGGGGTTTAGCTGAGCTCCAGTCCCTGCACCAAGAAATATTATTTGTTTACAATTACCTTTTAATCTAATTATAGTTATTAGAACGGAGTATTTCATGTAAATGGAACACCCCATTCAATATGAAGCATTACTGGTTATGTTTTTCATTTTGGTCAGCAAAATTAACATTTACTATTTGGTTTAGACAGTGAGATCTCCTCCAAACCTGGTGTTTCTGTGTTTGGCAGCCAGACCAAGAAATTAGTTGGTTTAGATTTTACTTTAAAACATGTTTGTGATGATCCCCCCATGTTTGTACAGTACAAAATTCACTGAGGTGCCTGGCTCAACACATAACCTATAAACCCACATTATGAAGATATGTTATCTGGATTACAGTGTTAAGCACTACACTATCTTTTCTCAATGTCTCATCCATTTTTATCTCACAGAACCTCCTCTTTTAGCAAACATTGTTTTTTATGTCTTTCTGCACAGATAAAATGTGAATTCCATTAAGCACATGATGCCAGAACTCCTGAAATCTCAAGTGTAACATTGCTCTCTAAAGAAATGCCTTAGAAATAGCCTTAGAAATACAGGCTGTTGGTTTTGAAAAAGTAGGATACTATGTTCTGTTGAGCTCTGATAGCAGGTTTAATGGTGTGTTTACTTTTCCCATCCCAACAGAATCCTTGCTGAAGCCAAAAACCTCTCTTTCAATGCCACACTTGCTTTCAATGCTTATACTAACATCAAGGATTACACAGATGAAGCTGAGAAAGTTGCCAAGGAAGCCAAGGCTCTTGCAAATGAAGCTATGCAGGCGGTAAGAAAAATAAGTAAATTGGGAAGAAGGCTTAGATTTTCTGTGGAACTGTGCTACGCCTTATCTTACATCCATGTTTTGCCTTAAGACTTTATTTAGAGACTCCTGCCACCATAGATTCTTGTGTTGAGATCAGAAAGCTGTGCCCCTGTCAGAGCTACATGTACCTTCAAACTACATCCCCATTTGTTCCTAGCTCCCGTTCCTTATTTTTCTTTCCCTTTTTGTTTACTATTCTTCCTCCCTCTGTCTTCTGCCTTTCAGTTTCTGTCTATGGCTCAAGCCAACAGCTGCTGCAGGAAAACTTTGAGTCAGGAGCATAGCTCATTTGATACTCAGTAAAGCTAGTTTATATTTAATGAATGTTTTGCACACATCTAAAGAACACCATACCTTAATTAACTCTTCACCCTCTAGTTCCACGAAAATGCTCAGAGGCCCTTCTCTGCACGTAGGATAACTGCATGGACCTAGCAGAATTCTAGAAATGGAGAATTGTAGGAAGGGAGCAGAAAGTTTTATTCCTAGAAACCATACAGCTTTTTTTTGTGAACTCTGCTGTTTTTCACAGAGGAATCTTATTCTCACTATGAGATACTGCATGCAAATTTTTGGAGTAAATGGAGAGAACTTTTAAAAATAGGACTGTAAGGTAAAGCCAGCTCTTCAGCCTGAGTCATAATGAGGAACTTGGCTCCTTAATGCATATACTGTGAGCAGAAAACGTTCCAAGCATAGCCAGAATTATTTTTTATGTCAAATATCAAAGACGTTAATGGCTAATTTGTGGAAGTGCACATGCACTTCACAGGCACACAGAAACATGAGGAAATGACAGTATAATTATGAAATTGCCAGACCCTATATTTGATACAGAAACATATAGATGAACAGAAGCAACTTGTAGTTACAGCACTTGTACATGAATAAAGGTAGCTTGCAGAGAGCTACTTCGGTCAAATGGATTATGAGAATAGCAAAAGCAATCACATGCTGCAAAGGTCTGTATTTAGCAGAGGGATAAAGTGATCTAGCCACTGCACAAAAATGTTAATATTTTTAGGCTGTTTACATTGTCAACTTCTATTTCAAATAACACTAATTACTATATTTCTCTCTTGATGAAAAAATTTCACCTCACACATTAGTATGCGCTGGTTCTCTGTAAATAGTTATTTTTTTCTCCGGAACTCCTAATTACACTGCAGAAGTAAATAGAGAGCTGTGGATCCTTTTTTTTTTCTCATTAGGATTTAATACAGATAGCTATCTTTTGCTCCTTCGATGCCTCTCAGTGAGTGAGGCATGCAGCTGTTTCAAGGATTGAATAGGAAAAAAAAGATACATACAGCCATCAAGAAACAAAGCAAGCAATTACAGTATGGCTACAAAAGAGTATCTATCAGATGGTGAACCAGCTGATTATACCATGGAGAGAAAGTGGATAGATAATTTGAAAGGGATGGAGGTGAAAATGGACGACACGATGTAGATAGAGGCAAGTGAGTAGCAAGGAAAGAGAATAAGATATTATTAAGGTGGGGTTTTAAGCATCTCCATTGCATGTATTCATTAGAGGGAGCTTGGTTTTTGTTATGAGCTGTATATATGTAACAGGGATCTAGTTGATAAAGAGGAAAATGGAGGGAGCTGCTGCCTTTTAAATGTAATTGACTTGATATAGAGTAGAGGTAATCAAATTGCTGCAGAGCAAGGTAGAATTTAACCATTATTTGGTAAACGATCATGTGAGGATTTCGGGCCAGAATTGAAAATTATCTTAATTATGAAGTTCAATTGTAATTTCGCTATTCTATTTTTTTGTTTTTATGCAAAGACTGTTGAATGCTCATCCTAAGAGCTTAACTGCTAGCCAGGCAAATCAGGCTCCCTCTTTCTGCAAGCCCCAAAGAACTTACTTTTGGCTGAGCCTCCACATGAGAGCGGGAGTGCACCCTCACTCAGGGCTGTCTGGAGCACCGTGGTTCAGGCACTCTCCTAGAAGGCAGTATTTGTGGATTTGAGCCTGCTCAGACTGAGAAGCCCCTAGAAACTGTGTCCCCTCCTTCCTGAGAAGATGCTCTTTGGGACCCTGTGTAGAAGACAGAGATCATGTCTTTCCCCTCTTTTTGAAAGATGGAGCCATTCTCTCTTGTTCATGAGGGCAGTTGTGGGTGCCTACCTTCTGTAGATGACTCTGATCTCTAGACGCTAGCAGATAATGAAGAAAAGGGATGAAGCTCAGATGCATCCCTGAGCCTAGCCTTTCTCATTGAGCAATTACAATGTTGGGGCAAGGGGAGGAAGGTTTCCCAACAGCAGCAAGCCAGTGCATGAACTAGAGATGGTAGGGACAGGACTGAGTTTTAGATTCCACCCAGTACGTCACTGGAGCAAATAATTTACAAGAACCTTAGTGATATCTCAGTGGGTTTTTGTATTTTGGTTTGTAATGGGAAAATTACTTTGTTTTCAAATTACGCTAATGTTGCTAAAAGCAAGAACAAAAAGATGCTTAAAATCCATCATGACTGTAGGAAGTCTGATAAATGACTGGAAAAAATGTATTAAAAATATGACAGAAAAATTCCTCCCGAGCTTTTTAAGATGGATTTGCTCTCCTCTTTAAAAGCAAAATAAATTTATCACAGATGAGAAATCTCTACCATTCAAGCAGCTTCAACATCCCATTACTTAGCCAAGGCAGTAACAGACTGAAGAGAGGAATCCTGTTAACAGATCCAGCTTGTGTCTCACAGATCAGAATCATAGTTTTACAATACATCTTGAAAAAGTGTGATTATTCTTAGGCTTTTTAGAGAGGGCTTATAGGCTAGTAACTGAAACCACGGGTGACATGTTAGGTGTTTAGGGTCATAATTCCTTCTTTGCTTTTGACTTTCTTTGTAGTCATACCCCAGCAGTTATAGTGGGTGTCTAGGTTTTCTTACATGGTAATGGCATAAAGCTGCCTAGCCATCCTCCTCGTGAGGATGTCCTGACGTGCATATCATTCATAACATTTTGGTACTTCAGAATGGTCAGCTATCTTCAGGACTGGTAAAAATGAGAATAGCCTTAACTCTTGCATAGGTGAAAACTTCCCAGAGTATAAGTGTATGTGAAAAGAATATAATTTAATTTAAGGAAGAACTTTTTTTTTACTGATGTGAATTAGCACTTAGGTATATAAAATACCTTTTAAGTGTGGAAGTTCAAGCATGTGACCCTCAAAACTGTCCCACTGCATTTATACACATGCTTGGAGCTGTACCTCTGCATGTGACCAAAATCACCAACATGCCAGCAGGTTTGGGCAACATGGTGCGTCTTCATGTTTGCATCCATTTATGAAACCTCAGAAGAAAATACTTTCTGCAAAGTCCCTAGCAATTCTCAGTCTGGTATGTGCTCAGACCATGTCCAGGATGCGCTGTCAGGGGAGTCTTCACAGAATGCTGTGATTATGGCTGATCTTATTCAAACTTGCAGCATGTAGCACATTACCCTGTTAATGTGGTAAGTCAGTGATTCACACAATCATCCTGGGAGATCTGGAGAGATTTCCTCCATCCCAGAAGAGTGCCATAACCTACCAGACTACGGGCTGAACTAAAAATCTTTCTGCCACTCCTGCAGAAGCTGGGCTGTTTGACAAAAGCAAGGTTCAAGGTTCATTGAAATACCAGAAAAAAGAAGACAGAGGCAATATGCTTCCTAAGTTCTTTCCTTACCCAAAATTATCTGCTAATTATCAATTCAGAGATTTTCTGTAATTTGATAGATGTTTTTCTTTTGCTGTTAAACTTCGTTAAAGTTTTTGCTAACCCATGGATAGGAAAAAAAGACCATTAAGGATGATGTATAGTTTCAGTGGCAGCATTTTGTATTATATTATTATAATGGCACTTATGCCTCTAAACCACGACTGAGATTGCATTGTTTGGATACATAATGAGATCCCACTTCTGCCACAAGGTGCTATAAGCTGCACAGAGTTTGCATGGGGAGGGTAGGGGGCACAGGATGAGAAAGGTACTATACCCAGGTTATGGATGCTCTGGGAGAAACAGAATTAGAACAAATTAGATTCCTGAGACCCTGCCATTTTCCAATTTATCTTGAATCACAATCTTTTCTTTTTTTTTTTTAAACAGCAGGTGTCCCAATTTAGAAAATAATATCAAAGGCCCTTGGCTGTTAGTCTTATTAAATCATAAAAGGGGTTCATCATGACCCAGGCTTGCCACAAGCACACAAACTCACCTCACACAGCCAGAAAATGTTTGGTTTTTTCATCATTGACTTCATCATAACTCGACATCTCATGCGCCACAAGAAAAGCTAACAAAAAAAGTATGTTTTGCATCAGATGTCTTGACTAATCCTCCCTTTCAGAATTATTTTAAAATAAATATGAAATAAAGCTTTTAATCAGTACAAGTGTATTTGTGTCTGAGGGGGCTTTTCTAGTATTAACTTTGTGCTGAAATCTGTTTCTAATTATCAGCACATGCCCAATTATTGTCCCTGATTTGATGAACTACTTGGTTTTGCATTGTAAATCTGGCCTTCCAACTTCATCATATTGAACATAAACTGCTTTAACAGACAGTCAACTATGCCTAGTCATTTAATAATAACAACAATCATTATTTTTGAAGTCCATGGCCACAGAGTGATCATACCCTGGGTTCTGTTGCTAATGGGAAAAGGAATATAAAAATATTATCTGATTTGACAGGTGCATCTGCCACAAAATCTGGCCAAAGATTCTTCCTTCAGGAGCAGTCTTTTGCTTAATTGGATAGTCTTTTTTTTTTTTTTTTTTTCTGGGTTTATATGTATCCTTCTATTACCAATGCTACTTGTGTTACATGATGAAGAAAATCTGTAAGAAACTAATTTTGTTCATCTTTTGAATGTATAGTTTCTGTTGATATTGAAAGGAATTTGTGTACACGGGTTAATATTTCAGGTGAGCTTGGAAATATGGCAGTCATGTGGGCCTTACTTGTTAAAATCACTTTCATCACTTATTATGAAAGCTAAGCTTACATTTACATCCCGTATGAATACAAGGAATCTTTAATAGCTATATCCCTGTGACATGGCAACATATGCCATGAGATATCCCATAACAAAAAACTTGGTTATGATTTTTGCAAGTATCCAAAGCATTCCCTAAGATTTTTAAAAGAAAAAGAAATGGGCAAGTCCAATATATGGTTTTTACAGTGTCATTGAAAAACAACAAAGATTCAGTAGTACGCGAAATACCACCTCTGGGCTTGCTCATTATATAAATAATGAATAGCAATGACAACTGTGTCATTTAATTGACATACAGTTAATCTTTGAGTATATGTATCTGCCCAGAAAATGAAAAGTAGCTGCTTCCTAATTACATACTAGTTAAAAGGCTATGACCCACGACTAATATAGAATGTTATCTGGCTGGCAGGAGTATTCTTAAAGAAATGTATTCAGTATGACGTGTGACCCGAGTTCAGTCTTACAAACTGAACAGTAAGTGGTTCAGAACCTAGAGCATTTCCTACCAACTGAAAATACTAATCTAATTTAGAAAAATAATTCTATCTATTGATCAATTTCTGCACTGAAGATAGAGATGGATGTTTTTCAAAAGAAAGATTTTTAAGTAGCATGATATGATGAAGGATGGTTATTTAGTAATAAAAGTCTTTCAGATTAACTGCAGTTTGCCCTTCTTTTTGAACTCTATTTCTTTTATATCACATTTTCTTTACTGACCTAGCAATTACAATTCTTGAATTTAACAACAAAGGCATCTCTGTTGTCGATATTAGAATTTAGATCATCAGATCCAGTCTGGCTTCTAAAGGTACTGTAGCTGCTGTTAGGGCAAAATACTGTATTGCATAGTGTTGTGTCTGTAGCTGGAGGGAGAAACCCATGTTAAAGCTGAAATATCTTTTTGGTTGGTTCATTGGTTTGGACAAAGTTTTGCTCCTAGAGTCAAACCTGTTTCATTAACTCTATAAACATTTTCTCTTTTTATTAAAGTCATCGCTGGTATTCCAAAGGAGATCTGGCTTCCTGTAAAAACGAAAGGAAATGAATTAGAGAATTTTTTTTTTTTGTTCTCTTGTAGACCAATGTAATGACAATGGGATATAATTCAGAACACACCCATGTTCACTTAAAATTTAGATGACTGTTCACTTAGATCATTTTCATATATTTTTTATGACTTCAGACTTTCCTGTATGTATGACACTGCTTGTTTGCCTACAGACATCTGGTCCTCAAGGATCATTGAAGGATGGCGCCAAGACCTCTCTTCAGAAAAGCTTCAGGGTCCTTAATGAAGCCCAGATGTTAGAAAATGATGTTAAAGGTATGTGCAGTATACGGCATTTAGGCCCATTAAGTACAAGAAAAATATTGTGAGACTGCTATGCTTCCGGTATGAAGACGACATATATGATTCATTATCTGATTTGAAACTGAACAATGTATCAAAGAAAAAGATTCTCCTGGTTTGGGTCCAGGCATTATGCAGGGATGCTTGCCCCCTCTGTCTGTTATGTGGACAGGAAGACTGAGGAGGATGGAGCCTTGGTCTTCTCTTCCTACCTACAGTAAGGGCAAGACTAAGTGGGAAGGAGAGGGGTGTGGAAACACTGGTTCTGATTTACTAAATGCTCTGGCAGAAAATTAGTACAAAAAACTAGCCCAGTATTAAATTTTTATTCTTGTCAATACAGAAGCAGGGTTTGCAATGCCAATCAGAGATACCACATCTCTTCGGGATGCTTGTGGGATTGTGCGAGAAAAGGGAAGCATGGGGAGATAGAATGAAGATGTTTACCAAAGAGAGAGTAATGGGAGGGAACTGCTAAGTGTTTTCTTAAAAAAAATGAAACTAAAAACGTCTCTAGAGAAAAAAACTATTATTTTCACACACACACAAAAAAAATTTCTTTGTTCCTAATGCATAAATACATGTCTAAATGCAGCTCAGACCATGAAGTTTATAGATTCCAAACCAAATACTTTGGTTTCCCAGTGAAAAATAAAACGTCTTTAATTTCTATTCAGTATTTTCCACTGGAAAAAATAAAGGTTTTGAACTATGCTGTTTGGTGAGATGTAAAAGCTGGTAATTCAGGTCAGAGTGTGCTTATAAAGTCCTTAATATTTTCTCATCAATAAATGAGAGTATTCTTGGTGAATGCCATAGTATAGGAACGTAGGACAGCAGTCAGTATGGACACATGAGATTTTTCATGCACACATGAATAATCAGCTGCAGAAATGCAGCATAAGGAGCAGTTTTCTGTGTAGCACTTCTCTAGAGTGAGACTAAAGAGAAGCATGAATCATTTGCTGAGTAGAAGTGGAAAAGGCAGATGTCACAGAGGAATGCATGAGTATGACCATGGCTTTCCAAAACATGTGAAACAATCCTCCCACTCTGTTCAGGGTTCCTAGTGCTTTAGCTAAGTTCTAGGCTACAGTCCTGAGCACTGAACTTCATGAGGGCTGAGGTGGTTTGCAGAGAGTCCTAAAGACATCATGAAGACTAACTGGAGACCTAGCAGAGGAGGGATGAGGAGAAAGATTGAAATAATTTAAATTTGTAGACTGAAAAAGAGACAATTGAGTAGGGACTTAATATTCTTCAGTTATGTCACGGTTTCTCCAAAGAAGATGGGACTAACATATCTCAAATGCACTGATACAGATCACATATTAGGAAAATCTTCCTTGTAATTAAAATACAGAAGTACTGGAATTGATTACTGAGGAGATTAGGGAGATTTGAGCTTTGAAAATTCTTTGAAAACAGCTTAGACAAACATCAGTGAGGAATGACTGTTGGTCAGAAGGAAAAAAATGATCTTTCGACAAACATCTGTTCTGAGCCTATGATTCAATGATCTTCTGATCATTGCAACCACAAGCAGTTTATTTCTTGTGTCTTTATCCAGACAGATTGTTTTATGGGTCCTCTAAGAAAATACTTATTGCAGCACTAATGAAGCATCTGTTTAACAGTACTCAACACTTCTTTCTCCACAGCAGTCTTAGAAAGGAACTGAAAAAATAATTCATTTTGACTAAACGTGAGGGGAAATAAGCATGATACAATTATCCACTTTCAAGTAGGCTAACACTGAGTTTCACACATCTGCCTTTGTGAAAAGTGTTAAACGTTACTGCTTTAATTGCTTTGCTTTTACATATAACAAAGCAAGCAACTTAAGAGCATACAGTATTTGTGACACTGGTTAGTAAAGTCTGAGAGGAGGATCAATTAACTGAGTCCTTCATACAACTATTTTGAATGTCTTTCATCCAAATACTGAGTAATATTTTGATTAGTCTGGACAGAATAAGTTCAAGTTGATAACTTTATGGTCTATTCCAAATTATTACTCTGTAGTCCCCTCCCTTTTGTAATTTGAAATTTTGTTGTGTATATTTTGAGAAGCTTGTGTCCAGTCACTGTAGTTTCTGAAAAACTCTTTCATAATATTAGATACATTATAGTTTAATATGATTCAATTGGCTGAAGCTATAATAGGGTTAACCTGGAGTTAACCACAAGGATGGGAAAAGCATAGCATTTGAAAACCTATGTGAGAAAACAGATTTAGGACTTGGAAGAAATAAAGACGAGGAAAGGAAAACAGCTATGATATGATATTTTTTGCTCATCATAGGATCTGAAAATCAAGCTGGGGTTTTGTTTTGTTTTGTTTCATGCATCAGAACTAGAAAAATCACACATGGTAAATATTTGAGGTTGAGATTTAAACTGCTTGTCACAGAGATGATGCCCGAAGCTTCCCTGTCGTGCTATAGTAGTTAAAATACTTTTGATTAAAAACAAGACAGATTTTTATAATAGAGCCCAGTCTTTCTGGTTTTAACATACAAAATTTTCATTGGCCTCCTGGGGGGAGGCATACACCATGAAGGATGAGATCCATACAACTTAGAGTCCAAGTGCAGAACTAGTTAATAAGTAAACATGATGTTTAATAAGGTCATAAAGCCTAAAGTTTCATAAGGTCTTTAATTACATTTCACTGTCATACACTGTTTAAAAGTTAAAAACGTTATTATTTTCTTGTAGCAGCTCTGAGAAAAGAATGTGTCTGCAGTTACTTGTAAATCTTGGATGTATATTTAGGGTGTTCTCTTTGCGACTTTACTGCCAGATTCATTACAGATTTAGGGCTGGAGGGGCATGTTTCAGTAAATATGTTACAGAAAATCACAAAACTTCAAGGGGAGGAGAGAGTGCAATTTAAGTAGCATGGCTGAAGTAAAACGAATAGGGATACAGTTAGTGCCCCTTTCTGGAATGTAAACTGCTGCAGTGTGCTGTGGCTAGGGTATAGGAAACACTAAAACAGCAGTGCTGCCTCTTGCCTGCCCCAGCGTTCCTCTGAGCAGAATAGGCGCCACAGGGTGGAGTCCACAGCTTTGTGTGCTCCCCGGGCGGTTATATCAGAGTAATCATGCGTTGCACATAGCACAGTGCCCTGTTTTCAAGGGCAAAATAAAATAGTGTCTGTACCTGTCAATTCCACTGCCCACAAGACTGTCCAACTTAACCCTGAGAAAAGATGTATTACAACCTCAGTAGAGCACAACTTCAGAGATTTTTGGGAAAAGTATGTTATTCGCCCATTTTACACCAGCGAGAATTTAAGTTGATAACAGTTTCATAATTGCAAAGTGAAGATCTAAACAGTCCAAAGATTCATAAAGCAATCCTAATGCAAGCAGGGAGTAGTGCTTAAAATGTACGTATCATATCTTTGTCTATGTTCTTGCCCCATACTGAAGGGTAATGAGATGGAGCTTTCCTAATGCTCTCTGATATACCTTACATTTAAAGTGCTTCATGCAGACAAACATTCTGAACTTTTCACAGTATGCCCTTTTGCATCTGATAAAACATGGCCATGCTCCACAGCATGACCCACAGAGATCGGTTCACATTGTGCCCAGAATGCAGATGCATAAGACTAAAATGCAATGACAGATTTTTTTTCCCCCCACCTCTCTTTTGCTCCAAAGGGGTGATGTTATTAGTATTATGAGCATAATCCTTTCTGGATGTCTTTGTGCTTCCAGGATAGAAATTGGGAGTTGAGTGTAAAATTAACAGAACGACATTTTCTCATGATTCTTACAAAGCCACCCTATTCATAGAGTCAACATGGATGATGGGTACTCTGTAAAGATCTGGTAGACAGAAGTAATCATTAGTTTAAAATTTCTCTGTCTGCACTACAGGTAGTACATTAGTTAAAGTAATGAAGACCTGTAAACCACTGAACTAATACACACTCCAGAAATCCAGGCTGGGCTGTGATGGAGGTGGGAGTATTTTCTTGCTATATTATGACATTCCTCTGATTTGTGGCCAATTACCCTGGTTATAAAATGGCTGTTAATCACAGAAACGTTTTATATTACCACCAAAAACTGCTGAAACAGTCCTTACAAAGCAAAGCTTCTGACAGAAGCTATTAAAATGGAGATTTAGTCGTTTCTCTCTCTGTGGGGCTAGGAGTTAGAAGGAATAACCCTGGTGGGAGAAGCAAAATCTGTAGGTAGTGCTCTGGCTAAGAAGGAGTTTTGAAATTTTGGCTACAAATGAGTGAATGCTGCTGCCTGGCAGCTTCATTCTCTCTGTGCCTTGAGGGATTTTCAGTTTGCCAGTAGCAATTTTTCTTCCTTAAAATTTTGAATTTACTGTTTCAAAAATATACTTGCCCCAATGCAGATTTGAGACTATATACAGACTTTGTCAAAACTGATCAATGAAAAGCAAAAATAAGATGTATAAACTCCTCTTCACCTGGAGACTGGTGTCAGGTGGCTACTGAAATTCAACTCGTCATTTCTTTTGCTTAGGAATTGACAAGTTGAGGGGGACTTGTCTTGTCTGAGTACCTGTGAATATTTTTAGCTAAAACATTTTCCAGAAGATAGGCACAGCTAAATCCCTTATTTGTGTATTCCTCTCTGCTTTGTATTTTTGCTGACCTAGCATATTGCATTCAGCAAATTATTGCATTAGTTTGATGACCAACATAATATTCATACAAAAACTTCAGTCAGTGCTGAAAGTAGTCTTTTTAAAAAGTTAACTGTCATTAGCTGGATTTCTGTAGTTATATCTCTTTCACCTGTTTGTTCCTACTGCCAGTTTCTAAGTCTTGCCTGTTTTAGGGGAAAAAAATTCGGCTTGTGACCTATCTCCCTCTTTATAGGATGAGACTGTGGGGAGCAAGAATGCTGTTTGGAAGAAGCAAAACAAAGATAACACGAAGGGATGTGTGTAACTGCCAGTTCATTTGTCAGTATCCAACCACTAAAAACAGCTGCATATGTCGCTCCTTGATAGATTTCCACCTTTATTCTGTTTTTGGGGAATATGCTTTGGGTAGCATAGCCCTATGATATCTTCTTGGACAGTTTCGCATGGAAAACTGCATTTGGTCATACTATCAGATGACATGGCACACCATCAGTAATTAACCAGTACCACATACATATGTGTTCTGCAGACACTTGTAAAAACTTGTCTCTTGTAAAAATAAATCACTGCGTAAAAAATGGTAAATAACTAAGTTCTTAAGTGATTTCTTAATGAAACATATCAGTGTAGGGATTTGGGGTTTTTTAATTTTCATTTGACTTATTTCAGTTTATTCACTTAGAGGAAAAAGGGATGATGCTTTATTCTGTAATGCTGTGTTTAACCATGGAAATATAAACAGAAATTGAAAATCTTTGTCCATGTTAACCAAGCCAGAAAACCTAAAGGCCCATACCTGCAAAGTCCTTCAGGACCCTGCTTACTTTTTAGGGTTTAGCTTCAGTGATGCATGAATAGTTTTGTTGATCTGAACAATAAGCAGTGCTTTGATTGGCATCCTGTGCCATCTCCGTGCAGAGCTAATCAAGTGGAAACAGGATTGAAAGAAATTTCTCAGGATACTCCTCAACTCTTTAATGTGAATTGACAGTGCCTGACATCTTTCAGTGCAGACCCACTAACCTCTTCCAAGCCAGATAAGCTATGTGGTTTGGAAAACTTAGATTGTAGCTGCCTGTATTTTGTCTAGCCTCTATGTTTAACTGGAGGATCTCAGGCCTTCAAATCATAGCTCCAGCATTTTTCATAAACGCTAATAATTAAGGATGGGGAAAAGCTGAAGTGAAGTCAGTTCAGTTTGTGACTCATATGCAAAATTAGCTCAGTGTTTAGTGAAGAGGCCATCTGGATTACAGGATGGGAAGTTACGTCAAAATACAACTTTGTGTTAATATCACTGTGCAAAATGAACAATTTCCTTGAAAAGCTGACACGGGCCTTAGTATCTCCTCACATCTCTTTGTGTAAGAGCCTCCCTTGGGGCACTTATTTATGACTTTATTATTGCAATATTTTAAAAAACACAGTTAAAATGTAGTTGAGGAATTAAAAGAAAAAATACTAAACAGGTGGAGTCTCAGCTTTCAATTTCAGGAGCTCTAGGGAAACTTCCCTTATTAAAATCCATAAAAATCAGTTTGCTGCTATGGTTACAAAGCTGAAAACAGAAGTCTGGAAACACGATTTTTCAGAAATATAACCAGTGATAATTAGCATAGTGTTGGATCTGGCAGAGTAAAGAGGAGAAAAAGAGATAACTTAAGACTATGCAACAAAGTTAGTATACCACCACCAGAAATGAATGAAATATCTCAGAAATATTAACCCACTTGATAAACACTAGCATTCCAGAAGGCACCAGAGTCACCAGTGAAATATCAGGCAGACCGTAATTTCCAAATTAAATTACATTACATTACCAGTAGCCTCATTCATCAGTGGAGACAAAACCTGTCATCTAAAAATAAAGGTGATTTTGAGGAGAAGGGTGATCTTATCATTTATATGATTCTTCTCTGCTTTACTCTAGTGTTAACTGTGTCTCTTACAGTTCACACAAATGTCCTGTTCCTCTGCAGGACATTTTGCAGGAATGAAGGCTTACCTCCATGCAAACCTGCAGACCTGGGTGTTGGTCTAATTTAAATAAGGCAATCAGATTTCTTCCTGAATGACATTTCAAAGGGTCTAACAACGAAAGTATGATTCTCATTTAAATTCCATCCACTATTTCAGTCTTGCTATAGTCTTGGAAAATTTAGTTAATGATTTCTTGTAGGTAATATACATTTTGTTTGATTTTTTTCTCATTGCAAATTGCTTCTTGCACATCTAGTTTTAAGAAGCCTTACATTTTAGAATTTGTGGAACGTGAACCACAATTTGAAAAATTATTGCTATGCTGGATACTGTTGAAAAAAAACTCCACAATTTTTATTCAAAGCAAATGCTGAAGAATAGGAGTTTACCTGTAAAGGATAACATCAGTTTCATCTGTAACATACTGAATATGGCACACCTGTGCCTTTGATTTGTACTAGTTCTTCAGTTTGAACAAATTCCTAGCTTTGAGCTTTATTTACTAGACGCTTTTTCCCAAAAAATTTAGTATGTTTATTTCATCATAACCTGTGGTTAGTGTTAGCCTTCTCATATTGATGATCAGTGCTAAGGTGATCTCATGTGTTTTCCTCAAATGTTATATCAACATTGGTTACCTTTGAGAAAATCCAAGAGAACTGGGTTCTGTCCACTCTAAATCCAACAGTAAGCTGACCTAGTCGATCTTGCCTCTTTCACACTATGTTCAACTCACTCACCCCAGACAACCCCCTTGAGAAGAAAATTTCAGTTGTAGCTTAATCTAGGAATCAAAGCTATGACTAAACATCACACTTGTTGAATCTGTCAGTGGGTCATTGTGTGAATTTGCATAAATCATACCATCTGTGATTGTCATTTTTTTCTTTCCTCTGTAGACCTTAGGAAAGCCCTTGATAAATACACAACAGTACAAGTAATTCAAGCATTTAGATACCATGGAAGTAGGGAACTTAAAGAAACAGAAGAAGATTATCAATGAACCCTACAACCAGTTTTACTGGACTTCCTTGTTTACACAATATAATATCTTAATGATAAATGGCTTATTCATTATTATGCGTTTTAAATTATGTGCAAAGAAAGGATAGTGGAAACAAGGAGTTAAAGCTTCTGTACTTTGTGCACTTTTTATAGAAAAGGGGGATAACCTGGACAGCATGCAGAACAGGCTGAAAGATGCTGATGAGAAGAATTCCATTCTCCTGAGAGCTCTGAATGAAACTTTTGGAAAGCTGTCAGCCATTCCCAACGGTAAGCTGGAGAAGTGCTGCGACACTTGACTCACCCCCGCTCTTTTGTTTTATTTTCCATCACTTAACATCTGTCTGATTAATCTTTGCCTGTGTCCACTTGGACCGTTGGCCGCTGTAATAAGACGAAGATGAGCAATGTGGGAGAGAACTGAACTGAAAACAGATACCTGGCATCAGTTTGTATTGTGGCATGGTAAAACGCTTCTGCAGTTTGCAAAAGGTTTCAGAAGGAAGAGAATTATTATATCAGGAATTATGATACAATCTGAGACAAATAGTCTTTTCTTTAAATGTGAAAAGTCTTTTAATGAACCACTATAATTTAACCAGTATAATTTAACCCAAGAAGAATAAAGACTTACTAACTTTACAGAAAAAGCAGGATGAAATTTACTGGGTTTTGTCTTTCCTTTCTACCAGACTCTCATTGATTTATGCTGCAGTATCGTTTCCAGTCACTGTTTAGTGTTGTATATCTTTTTTAGACTGTAAATTGCTTAAAACTGGAACAGGCTTTCATCAATGAACTCTGAAGTGCTATGCCCATTTGTAATTCTATATAGGCAAAAAAGATCTTAAAAAATCTGTAATACTCATTAAAATCCCAGAGTCCTGGGATGTTAGCTACTTTGTGTTGTGATAGTGAGAGATAGGGATCTACAGTGTAGTTCCATTATAATGGACAGTGATAAAAACTGAATGTTTGTTTTAGAAAATAAAAAGTTTTTTATGGATGTAATTTGCTACGACTTTTCTCTCCAAGGAACTCTTTATAAACTGAAGATATGCCTTAAGAAAAGTCTCTAAAGAAAATCTATATTCTGTCTGATTTATGATGGTCTGGAAGGTTCAGATTGCAAGTGAAAACTTGGCATGCAAAAGAATTTACTATTCATCTTTCACATTTTTGTGGCTTTAAGATTCCAGATAACTGAAAAGTTTTGTTTTAGATTTAGTGATCCTTGAAATCAGGCATTCACAAAAATTTGTTTTAAAATGTCATGCTCATCTTATGCCGCTTCCCAGGTTTTGGCCACAGGTATTGACATGACTGTTTCTCTTCTTGTGCACAGATAGATGTCTCAGTCAAACAAAATGGACCTCTAAGTCCAGCTGACCTTAGAACACAGAATAATAAATATCAAACAAGTAAAAGAAATATGAAATATGCAACCCTTAGCAATGTAATAAACTCTTGTCAGATTAGAGTTACAGGGTACTTGCTCTTGGGACAAGGACACTCATATAAACAAGTGGATGTGATTAAGAATGAAATTCAGAGCAAATAAATGGCATGGATAAGACAATGCAGTAAATTAGTTGTCCAACAGGGAAATAACCAATGAGGATGGGGGAGGAAATGACCCTGTCATATCTCTTGTTCTTCAAGGATTCAAGAAAGCACAGAGCAGCTTAAACTAATAATTCTTGTGTCCATGCTATACTAATAGCCAAATAAAAGCAGAAAGATTCAAAATGGGATAGATGGGTAGATCACCTTAGGACAAGGACCCATATGTGCAGGGATAGGTATAATTTAAAATGTGGCTGAAAACAAATATAACTTGTGTGACCAATGGAGGGAAGTAACACCGTAACTCCGACTTTCACTCTGCTGAAAGGTGCATGACCTCTAATAATGGCCTCAAAAAGAGATACTTAGATATGATGGAAAAAGGAAGTGAAAAAAGACAATCAGAGCTCTCTGTTCTTTCACTTGTCAGTACTGATGATGATGATAGTTTATTAAAGGTTCAGTTGTATTTTCAAGGTGCTGTTGTATTTTGGGGGCTTTTCAGAGCCAAAACTTGAGATATAAGGACAGAAATAAGGCAGTTTGGAGCATAGGTCTAATATATCTTTACTCAAGAAAGTAAAAAGGGTCATGTAATTCTCCAGTGTGTAGGACAAACCCACCAGTTCTCTATAGCCTTAGGAAACATCACATGCTCCCCAGGCCACAGGCTTGATCACATCAGGTGCTCCACAGAAAGAGAAGGACCTACTTAGGAGACCATTTGGAAACCTGTACTGTTGATCCCTTGAAGTGGAGAAAATGTCCATGTTTCCCATGTCTTCACAAAGTCATAAAATCAGGAATGTACAATCTGCTTCAAGCAAATGTTGGTATAAACTAACTCTTATCAACTATCTCTTAGTCAGAAATGGAAAGAAAACACAACCTCCTGTGCTTTCCCCGCTACTGCGATGCAGTCTGTTAATTTCGTGGACTACCACAGGAAGCCCCAGTCAGTATGACAAGTGACACTATCACTACATGGTTGTTTCAGAGGTGTCCAAACTTCTAAGCTGCACTCCAGAATTCTCATATGACTGAGGGACATGAGGATACCTTGGAGAAAACAAGGGGAAAGCAACTCCAAGAACAGTTTCACAGGAGGAAGGTAGCAAAGCAGGTTTCTGTGGGTCCCATGACTCCACTGTGGTGTGGTGGTAGAAGGGGAGTTCACATGGGTTCCCTTGCAAGCTAGAGTGTCTATCACAACGTTTTCTGCTTGCTCGCTTCCTCCCATCTGTGGGAATTCAGAAAATTTGGCAGCTCCATAGCCCAGCACAGCCTGTGCTGCTGGCTCGTATGTGATGTAGTCTCAGCGTGCCAACAGCACCTGAGCTGCTCAACAGCTGCATGATAAGTTTTAAAGCAATCTGATTTACTAATGCAGGATTTGAATAAATACCTACTTGAATACCTGTCTGTTTTATCATTTATCAATAACAAAATCAAAAACATTCCAGACTTGAATGTTTTCACCCCAAAGATAGAACATTCATTTCCATTTTGCAGGCAGAGAGGTGGGGCAGCATTGGACTAATTGTTTTGCACAAGGTCACCAGGGATGTGTAGGGATGTATGTGATTAATTCAGTCAATGAACCCTTGGTCTCTTGATTCGCAAGATTATTTGTCACAGTTTCACCTGAAACACATGGAGTTAAATTTCTGTATTCTGTACATCAGAGCATTGAAAGTCCTATTTTTATTATATCAAATATAACATCTGACACTTGATCAGAGATTAACCAGTGAGACAACAGCAACAACAAAATTGCACAAAAATTTACTTAATAAAAATGATTTGTCCTTTACATACAAATGGAGCTGGAGCATTTTCTCTTCTTCAGGTGCATTTGATATCTCAAAAAAGACATAAAGGGCCAGATTCTGCAGTCCACACTTACAATTAGTAATGTCTTACTACATGTGAGGTTGGAGCTCTCAAAGAACTGCACAACACAATTTAAGATGGTAGAATTTTGATCCACCTTTATTCTTAAGATGTGTGAAGGAAAATTCTGTACTCTAGGCAATCATTTCATTAACCTTTTGTATTTACAGATACAGCTGTAAAGGTACAGGCAGCCAAAGACAAAGCAAGACAAGCCAACGATACTGCAAATGATGTCCTAGCCCAGGTTAAAGACCTCAACCAGAATCTCCTGGGCTTGAGAAACAACTACAGTAAACTTGCAGATGACGTGGCAAAAACAAATGCTGTTGTGAAGGATCCTATCAAGAACAGTAAGATCTTTTTTGTGTTGTTTGGTGGTGGTTTTTTTCAGTTTGTGGTTTTAATTTCACATCTCAAAATGAAACAGAGACATTCCAGAATTTCACTCACATAGCGTTACTACAGTATACTGGGATAAAAGGAATCTCTGTCGCTTCTATGTTAGGAACTTTATATATAAAAAGGATTTTAAATCTTAAGGACTGCTGCTAGTAGTTGGGGAAAAAAGAATGTCAGCAGGGTGAACATGTAGTGGATAGATTTGTTCTGCAGACTACTTTGTAAAGTATTTAGGAGGTGAATAATCAAAGATTCTGACTAGCAATTCACCCCTTGATTCAAGCAAAATTCCACACACTAACCCTGTCTTCAGTCAGTCAGATAATCAGTTCTGGGAGAAATGTATGATTTCTTTCATATACATTACTATTTTTGGTAGAACACTGAAGACACTTAAGAAGAAAGAGAAAAAGGAGATTCTGGGAATGGGTTTTTGTATGCTTTTTTTTTTTTTGACAGTGAATTCTGTAATCAAATGTGACAATTGTTTCAGCATTTTCACTTTGGTTATGATGGATAAAATTGAATTCTAAATTACAACACATTTTATGGTAGATTACTGGAACATATATAGGAGTATACAGCCAGGGCTGACCATAAAAGCAGAGTGTCTTTACAAAATTCCTGAAGGACTAATTTCTCAGCTAACCTGGGCTTCCTAGATTGTCGTCAGCTTGATGAAGCTGGGTACTTCAAAACATCCAGTTTAGGACGTTGTCATTCTCATTCTATGGACAAATACCCTCTCCAAATTGTAGCTGTACCAGTGAAAGAAGTTAATCCCAATGGCCATTTGTCAGTGCCTGCCTATTTCAAGTTCCTGATCCTTCATCAGCTGAGATACATGTGTGAACCCCAGGTATAATCCTCATCAGGCAGACTGATCCATGCTAGTTTAGACAATATGAAAAGTAGTTGTTGATTGAAATAGTGTGGTTAGATTACAGCGGGTTATGGAACAAGCAGATCTATGAGGTAATGACCTCTGGCAGGGTAGTGATGAACTGCTGAGGAGCAGCCTAAAAGCAGTAATTTCTTGGCACTGCTGGATCAAGACTAGGCCATCTGTCCAAGCACAAGTATTCTAAGACTGTATGTACGTTAGCGATATTAGGAGATAATATGAGATTAGGAGCAATAATTTAGAAGTGAATCTCTTGATTGCCCTCAGTCACCATTATTTGGTTCACACTGAGGAGTGGTCTTAACACTCGCAAACTCTTTCATGTCAGATAAAGCTTAACTGGAAGACGTTCTCCAGACGTACACTTTTACTACTCGCCAACTGCTAATGGATACTCAGATTACAGAATGAGATTAAAGTAAATGCAGAGTAAACCACTCCAAATTTATACAGTGAGTATGTTGGCACTCACGACTACCTGCTAAAGTAGACATAGCCTCTCTTGTATGTCAAAATTCAGGCTCTGAATTCTCATTATACAGGTGTGCAATATATAAAAGGTAATACATTTTTTTCTAGACTAATTCTGTCCCTTAATTTACTTTACATTTGTGTTTAGATCTTCAAAACATTTTCTTATGTTATCTTCTGTTTTTTCTCTTTTCTTTGTCTCCATATCTTGCCTACAGAAATCAGTACGTACATTTCCTTTCTTGCTGCTTTTATTGTGCCTTTTTCAGTAAACGATGATTCACTGCTTACCACCAAAGCTTCTGCATGGTGCTCTACATTTCACATTCATCGAATAGTTAAATAGTTACTTTTTGAAAGCTCTGAGATAAAGTGACTTGGTAACTAGTTTCACTTACCTGAAACCTTAAGAAGCATCCTGAAGTTTCGTTATCAGTGTCTGGGTGACTATTCAAAAACTAGATATCCAGACTTTCTTACTTTAACTAATTATTTTTATTATTATTGTCATTATCATCATAATTCAATATATCTTCTTCTGGTAAATCTACATTTGTCCCTTTCAGTGTCATCCACACAAACCCATACCCTCATGCTAACCAAGTGTTGCAATCCTTAGATCTGCTGATGAATTGTCAAAGAGAGGGCATTGTTCACTGGTTGTGTGTTGAGAGGCAAAAAAGTCATTTGAAGGTTAAAGAAAAAGAGAGAAAAAATATCCTTGTGAAATGATTAAGTTCACCTGAAAAAAAGAAAATATTTGCTGTTTACTGCCACTGTTTTTTAATCTGCTTTCAGTACACATACAGAATTTTAAACTTGTGACCAGAGTAAAGCCTTTTTCTAATTGTGGCCATTATAGTTAATTCAAGAATTAACTTCAAGTTAATTCTAAACCTGTTTCAGAAATTACTAATAGAAACTAACCAGTTTTCATCAATCTAGCATTTTTCTTCAAAATCAGAGTTTAAAAAAAAAAGTAAATATTTCATTCATAAGTGTATTTTGCTACAGGAAATGTTTTTCATTAGTATCATCCTGACCTGAAGCATAGTTACTGCTTCAAAATCCTGCTTTAACACCTGCATTTGCTACTATTGCTACTTTAACTTGTTTCTAATTATTCTTAAATTATCTTATTCTGTTCAGATAGCTTCCTGGTCTGTGTGTACCTCATAGTGGCATACACAATCACCTGAGTATTGTGTGTGCAGAATTTTCTTGGATTTTATTATTTCAATGTATAATTACTCTTTGACACTATTCTCTAAAACTCTGCCTTGTTCTTTCTTATGAAGTTGCTGATGCAGATTCCAGTATTAAAACCCTAGAAAAGGAAGCAGATCGCCTGCTAGATAAAATCAAGCCAATCAAAGAACTTCAGGATAACTTAGGGAAAAACATTTCTCAGATAAAAGAGCTGATAAACCAAGCTCGGAAGCAAGCCAATTCGGTAAGCCCTCTTTCTCAGTAAGATGACCTTTTGAGTATTGATGGGATTTTATTTTCTACTTTTCTATTTCTTTTCCACAGGGTGAATCCTTTCTAATTCTAAACATATGTAAAGAGAGCAAATAATGGAGTATAATTTCTCAGATAAACAGAGAATATTCTGATGATTTTCACTCTGTGTCTTGTTTCTTGATTCAAAACATGCCCTTATTAAATGGATAACATCTGGAATGTAGGAATGTATCTGGAAAGGTTATTATTTAAGAAGTATTGTGGATGATAGTACAGCAGAAGAGTCACAACATCATTGATTTTTTGTGAAAACAAAAATGTATTTTTTTGCCTCAGCACTGATATTAAGCTCCTGATTTCATTTCATAGAACTTATATTACCTGAGAATGACACCATCTCAAACTCACTGAAATTGCTGAGTGTATTTGCTTTTCCCATATTCTTGATTCTCGTTGTCCAGTAGCAGTTTTGAGGACTTGAACTTGAGTCAAGAATGTATTTCTAGTCCATTTAATGAGTTTGGAGTCCATCTCCCTGACTCAGTAATACTCTAAACTCGAGGATCAGCTGGTTAATGCTAAGGTTATTCAGTTTGTGACCTAATGTAGCAAAGGAAAAAAAATCTTGAAGATGGTACTTAAGAAAACTTCCTAAAAAATGGTTGGAAAAAAAAAAATCTACAGAATAATAGGATCCTAGGAAAGAAGTGTATTCCATATACTCAATAAAATTTGCCCATGACAGAAAGACAGGCAACAGTGATGATATGGTTTTGTTACATTCATCTTCTGTCTGAAGTCTTTGAAGTATTTAACTGCTCAGCATTTCTGAGATAGGGAAATCATTAATATGGTCATATAATGAATCTCCTTTTTGACAAAGTTTGCCCTAAGCGTAAGGTGATGCCATTATGTACATCTACTCTAATACATAAACTTGTCTAGCTGGAATTGAAATACCATTGTACTGTCACTGTGTCTATGCTGGCATTATGAAAGCAAACAGTATACCATTTTTATCTGTGCTTAGAGCCTGAGGAAACTAGCACACATATCCAAACGCATATGTCACTCAGCTGTGAAAATGAAACTTAGTTATGCATACCAGCTCCATTAGGGGCTATGTAAAAGCAGTGATAGACACAACTGTTGGTTTAAAACTAATTGTTAAAAAGTATCTTAAATTGGCATAATCAAAGACATTACAAGGAAAAAATAGATCATCCTGTCTACCCGATAGCAATGTGCTATGATCCCTTCAGGAGTGCTGCTTATTTTCCTGGCTGCGTATTCTACTTATAGACTGTCTCTACTGCTAGAATTCCACTGCTGCTTGCATTAGACTTGTATATATTCTAGCTATTTTTAATCCATACAGTTCGTCCTTTCAAATCTGAATGCTAGAAAGAGTTTTATTTCCTTTTAATAAACAATCTCAGAGAGAAAATTCCATTTCTACCACCTATGCATATCCAAGCAACTCCCTGGTACTTGTAACACAGAAATGGGAAGGAAGAAAAAAAAAAGTATAATATCCTTATAATTATTTGAAAGCATCTTAAAGTTATTTCTGGAATAATAAGCAGTAAAATGAATTCTTTCTGCTGTGCTTTTTTTGAAGATCAAAGTGTCTGTGTCCTCTGGAGGCAATTGTATTCGTACGTACAGACCAGAAATAAAGAAGGGAACATACAACACTGTCATTGTCAATGTGAAGACTGTAGTTGCTGACAATCTGCTCTTTTACCTTGGAAGCGCCAAGTTTGTAAGTCTGTCTCCTGCTTTTCATGTCAGGGTGGCTCAATCAAATCAGACTACTGACAAATACAGAAGATGAGAAGGGCTTTTTTTTCCTTCTAGACGCTTCAAAGCAGTAGTGGAGGGTCTAAGATAATCTAGACTATACTGTCTTTGGTATTAATATAGGGGCTTCTCAAATATGACCAGCAATTTTTTATTTTTTTTTTTTTTAACTAGATATAAAGTAGGAGACTTGTACATGGACTACATTAGAGCTTTAAAATTCATGGTGCAACCAGGGTAATTTTGGGGTTGGTTGTGGATTTTCTGATGAGAATGAAGTAGCTAATCATCTCACATCTGTCAAAGCTCCTATTTATTGTCATTTTAAGTCAAGACTACAATTCCAAGCATAATAATGATAAATGATTCAGTTTCCCATGAGCCCTATAGCAGACAGACTTCTAGAATAATCAATAATAATTCAGTAAATGGGAAAATTTCTATATTTTCTATTTCTAACCTTTTGAACTATATATTTTATTTACCTAATACAAAATGAAGAGGCTAGATGGCATCATATATTAGCCCAGAATCCTGACATCTTTCTGCCATCCAATGGATGTTTTACAAACAACGTTACTCTGAGTTAAATCATTCTCTTGATGGCTACAATATTAACATTTCTGTAAGTCTACCAGCCATTTTCTGCATATCACTGACAGAAGTAATTTGGCATTTTTGGCTTAAGATTCCTTGTGTGAACCAACAAAAGCAGGAAAAAGAAAGTCTCATTTTAGATCACTGTGAGAATTGATGTTCATACTTTACTGTCTATATATGGGTTTCTGATGCCTCATTAGACCTTCCAAGATGATAAGAGTTCTGGAAAACTTCCTTTAACCGAAGTATGAGATTGCTTCTATTTTCATATTTTACCTGTAGACTGACTTCTTGGCCATAGAGATGCGCAAAGGCAAGGTGAGCTTCCTGTGGGATGTGGGATCTGGTGTTGGACGGGTAGAGTATCCAGATCTGACCATTGATGATGGGTTTTGGTACCGGATTGAAGCCTCTAGGCAAGTATATATTTCACTTCCAAGATCTGGCTCCTAAAGAAAAAATGGCTAAATTTAACAATTTCTGCTTCTAATCCACTGTCCTCAAGTTGGCACACCTCAGGTTTATGTTGAAATGTTTGCTAGGTTTGAAACATTGACTATTTAAAAAAAGATGGTGTTGTAAATATGAGAAATTCTAGTCTGGTTTAATGAAAGCTTTTGAACCTATGTCCAATAGTACCAAAAGTGTATACACTACAATTACTATTGAATTGTGAATTGTTCTGTGTCAAGGGTTTATTTTCATCACATATTTCCCCTCTAACATCAACAATCTATGACTGCTTATATTCCCTTCTGTTTTCCTATCACTCTATCAATTCTGTTCTTCAGCTAGTTTCCTTTTAAAATCACTTACAGGTTTTGGCACTCAAACAGATAACTACTCTTCTTTTCTCCTTGAATTTCAAAGAGGAGCAGCTTTTCTGAATTTCTGGTCTTGATACAGTACTGAAAATGCATGGTCTGTCATACACCAGTATCTTGATTCTTACTCAAAATGCCATTTCCATAGACAGAACATCTCTTCAAACTGGAGATATTTAAAAAGATACAGTTTATGAAAACTCAGGGATGAAATATTCTGGCAAGTTAAACTATACTTTGTAATTGGAGATCAGCTGTTGAATGCTTTTGAACTTCAGAAATATAGATACCTTGATATTCAAATTTCACCTTTGTTGAAGTTTATATTTTCCATTGAAATAGCAAATACATGACATATGGTGTAGTAATTACAGCATAAGGATTACATAACTTTATATCCTTTATCTTCTACATCTGAACAGATCTTAGTAATTTAGATAACATCATCTATATTGCAATTTGATATAAAGCTGAGTAATTCCTCCTGCATCATTACAGTTAATTTCACATAGTATTAAACATAGAACCGGTAGTATAGTCAGAAAATGAGAGAAAGAAGGAGAAAGAAAACAAAGCACTCTAGTTCCTGTTACATCCCTAGCTCTCAGAGGAGGAAATGGCATCCAGTTTAAATAATTTAGAAAAATCACAGAAATCAGCCATTCAGAGCAGAGAATTAAATAAAATTATGGCACCGTCTCCAGAAGCTGGCTTAATGAAACCTTATTGCTAGGAAAATACAGACTGTGGTATGATACAAATTGTTGAAATCTTCACCAGTTCATATTATGCATACTAAAATAGCTTCGTGACACAGTAGCACCAGACTTTCATTTGCAGCAAAGCTGCTTCAGCAGAATATGGAGCCAGGACATGGTATAAAAATTCACACATCCTACAAAAGCACATTGCCTATTAAGCTGGTTGTTCTGGATATATAGAATGTGCATGCCATTAGTTTTGAACAAACTGCTGGATCAGCAATTTAGAACAATTACAGCTGCACAAATCTGAAGTACAGAGCAGTGTTTAGGAGAATTACATTGCAGAGACATTAGTTGGATTTGCGGGATTAAGATGAAGAGCTCGGGACTGATTTTGCATTCTTAAGGCAGACTTCATAAATCACGTATCCTACTGAAGATTCTTCAGCTTTGAACATTTTAGTCCATTTGATAACACTCCTCTGACTCCATAAGCTGTTGGAGAGTTTTACTCATTTCATTCCCTCACCTTTTTTCTCCAAATTTCTGCTCAGTTCCAGCCACCGACTTTTTCAGCAATCTGACAGAGCTGCCTGAACAGCTGGAGCAGGGCATCCACTTAGAATGGGCACATAAGATGAAATTCTGGCCTTTCTGAGTTTTGCCATAGATTTCAGTGGTGACAGGCATTGACACACAATAATAATGATATGGTGGGTTTATCAGTTGATAGCAGTTCTTAATCAAGGATCCCAAAAGGCCTTAAAAAGAGGAGATATAGTGGCACAGAGGTTGTGAAATTCTCAAGGTCACTGAGCATACTGAACGAAGTCTAAATATGAGAAAGCTGACTGTTGAGTAATGATCAGAGATGTTCGGTTCAGTTAACATCTGCAACAAAATTTCTAGTGTGTTAAGACTAAATTGATAATTACTGCATCTGGTTTCCACTAACACTTCTAATTATCATCACCTTTTTATTTGAAGCATACTAATACTTTGCATTTCATTATATATGCAGAGGTTATCATGGAAATATTTTTTTTTTTTATGAAACTGAAGTAAAATTTGTTTATTCCTATATGAATTCGTATAGGAATTCCCTATACTTTGGTTGTACAGGAATTTAACAAATGTCACCTACAGAGTTACTTACCTGCTTACAGAGGCAAATCTGATTGGCATCAAGAACTGCAATCAATCAAAGTATCAATTAACAAAGGAAAATCTGACATAACAGTATGTGACAAAATGATTTAAAGCAGGTTTGCAACATGCAAACAATGTTGATTTTGTGAAACAGTCAAATGGATGACAGAATATTTTTGAGACTCGCTAAATCAGTGAAAGAATGTCACTTGACTTCAGCAGGCCTCAATTAGGTGCAGGACCTGGTTAGTTGTGATTTTAATCAAGTGGGATTTAAGTATTACCATTGTTTTAACTGTTAAGGATGGAGTTTAAGCAGCACCCTTCCTTTGAGGACAAAGGACACTTGAAACACAAGTTCACTATAGATACATCAGCCCAGCTCAGCAATAATTCAGTTTTAAACTACTGTGGCAAACCTAAGCCATACTTTCCAATGAAGATTTTCTGTGATCTCAAAGGGTCAAAGAGCAGAGGTTTCTACATGGTGTTTTGTAATCTGATGTTGATGACTTGCAGAAGTCATCTCATTTACATCATGCATCTTCTAAAGAGCAAACCCTGCATGAATGGCATTATGTCAATTATTTGGATGATCAGCCACAAAGTGCTGATAGATCTATAGAAGATGGATCTTCTATAATCCACCAGTTTTGCAAGAACTGACTATCACTAGAACAGTATCTTCTAACCTGATGACTTGTCACGCACAGGTTAGCGATGTCTTTTTGCTGTCAAGTTAGCCAAGTTCTTTCTTCAAGCTCAGTTGTCCTCCCTAAATAAGAGAGAATTATTTATGGAAGACACTCCATTGTTAGCATTTTGATCTGTCTGAAGATGAAAGACATCCATACTATTTGTGACATAGGAGACACCCTAAAAAGTGTCAGTCTGCTCAGTGACTTCTGCATTATTGCACTTGGATGTTTTTAAACTGGAATCTTGATTTCAGCACAATATAGAGTGAAAGTGCCAGTGACTTTCTTTCAGAGAGCATCAAACTTAAGCAGTTTAAAAAAAGTCTTTAGCAACTGTTAGTCTTTCAACAGTTACTACACTGAGAACGTTTATCCTTTAAAGGGCTTCACATCAACAAACCTTCTGAAAAAAAAAGTAAAAATTTGGAATTTCTGCTGCATTGAAAGCTGTCTACTGAGCATTCAGTTGATTTTGGAATAAAAGGTAAAATAATTTCATCAAAAGGAAATAAAAAAAAAAAATCCTTTAGAATAATGTGGATGGCTTTGGCCAACTTCTTCAAAAAGTGTCCTGGGAAGAGTAAAGGGAAGCTGCCCAGTTGTGTAGGGAGTCAGGAAGGCCAAGGCACAGCTGGAGCTGAATTTGGCAAGGGATGTAAAGAATAACAAGAAAGGCTGCTACAGGTATGTCAACCAGAAAAGGAAGGTTAAAGAAAGCATATCCCCCCCGATGAACAAGAATGGCGACCTAGTATCAACAGATGAGGAAAAGGCTGAGGTACTCAACAACTTCTTTGCCTCAGTCAAAAACCTCTTTGCCCTCAGTCTCCCCGGCCAGCCTCTCTCCTCACCCCTCCCGAGTCAATGGACTGCAAGGTGGGGACCAGGGGGGTAAAGCCCCTCCCACTGTAAGGGAAGATCAGGTTCGACACCACCTGAGGAACCTCAATGTACACAACTCTATGGGACCTGATTAGATGCATTCCAGAGTCCTGAGGGAATTGGATGATATAGTTGCCAAGCCACTCTCCATGATATTTGAAAAGTCATGGCAATCAGGGGAAGTCCCTGCTGACTGGAAAAAGGGGAATGTTCTGCCCATTTTTAAAAAGGGAAGAAAGGAGGACCCTGGGAACTAACCAACCTGTCAGCCTCACCTCTGTGCCTGGGAAAGTCATGGCACAGATCCTCCTAGAAGCTATGCTCAAGCACATGGAGGACAGGGAGGTGATTCGAGACAGCCAGCACGGCTTCACCAAGGGCAAGTCCTGCCTGACCAACCTAGTGGCTTTCTATGAAGGAGTGACTGCATCAGTGGACAAGGGAAAAGCAATGGATGT